AGACAGGAGAGGTTTGCAGCACCATGAGGGACTCTCCCTGGCCAGCCAGGAATCAAACAGGCTCCGAGGAGGCTGCAGACAGCTTCACAGCACAGCGCTCAACCTGCTGCACCACCAGGGAGGCAACTAACATTTAAATTTTTTAAACTTTTTTTTTTAAGATTTTTTTTTTGGGCCTCCCCGGTGGCACAGTGAGTTGAATGCAGTGCTATAAAGCTGTCCACAGCCTCTGCAGCATGGGTTCGATTCCCAGCCGGCCAGGGAGATACCCACATGGTATGGCAGACCACTCCTATCTCGCCTATCTCTCCTATCTCAGCAGTGTTTTTAGTCCGTCTGCCTGTTCTGCTCCCCACTCTGTCTCTGGTGCATTCTCTCACCATCCCACGCCTCTGGCCTGTACCCCGGTTCTTGTATAAATAAATACTTTTTTTTAAAAATAAAGATTTATTTATGCCTACAAGAACTGGGGTACAGGCTAGAGGTGCAGGGGGTGAGAGGATTCACCAGACACAGTGAGGAGAAAAACAAGCAGACTGACTGAAATACACTGCTGAGGGGAGCAGCAGGCAAGACAAGAGAGGTCTGCTGCACCATGTGGGTAGTTCCAGGCCAGGGATCAAACTCATGTTGCAGTGGCTGTGGATAGCTTCATAGTGCTACAACTTAACCCCTTGCACCACCAGGTAGGCCCTAAAGTTTTTAAACTTCCGTTGTGAAATATAAACAGAAAAAAATGCAAAAGGTAATGTACATTTAATGAGTTGTCATAAACTGAACACTTATAGTTTTGTAGTACTTTCATTGCTTAACTTTTTAGATTAAAAGTTTGCTATAATTTGTGAGAAAGAAATTCATCTTTATTCAAATGGAATATGCAAAAATTGTTATGTACCAGGCAAAAAAGGAAAATCTCTACATATTCCAAAGCAGAAATTTTATAGGACTTATTCTTTGTAGTTAGTAAAACAAACGAAAAAAGATAGTGACAGATATTTCCAAAAGAGCTTATCACTCTATTAAGTGATTCAATTCAAATATATATATAAAATTATAAACATATAAGAGTATAAATATAATTATATATAAATATATAATATATAAATGCATAATATATAAATATTACTGTGTTTTCTATTTTAAATATATTTAGCTATGTTACTTTTATATTATAATTGCATAATTATAAAAATTAATATATTTAATTATATTGCTTATGAATTATAATTATATACAATGTATAATTATTGTTGTGTATATAATCTATAAGTAATATAATATAAACTTGATATAATTTTATGAAAAGTGGCTAAACTTGCTTTCTCCTATTTTTTCTTAAAGGAACAGCTAGAAATGTCCTAAGCAATAAATTTCAAATGCTTAGAGAATAGGGCCTCCCTGGTGGCACAGGGGTTAAAGTCACAGCACTATCAAACTATCGCCAACTACTGCAGCATGAGTTTGACCCCGAGGCAGGGAGCTGACCCACATGGCGCAGCAGACCTCTCCTGCCTCGCCCTCTGCTCCCCTCAGCATTGTATTATATTTCAGTAGATCCACCTGTTCTGTTCCCCACTCTGTCTCTGGTGAGTCCTCTCACCCCCATGTACCTCTGACCTACATCCCAGTTCCTGTATAAATAAATAAATCTTTTTTAAAAGTTTAGAGAATAGCAGTCTCAGTAAATCAGGAGACAAATAAAAAGATTTTTAAAAATTATATAACTAGAAAAGGGAAAACTCAACAGAATTCATAAATAAAAATGAAAATTTGGTTAAGAGATACCAACTGTACAAATCTGATAAAGAGGAAACAACAAAGTAAACTAAATTATGTGTGAAGATGTAACATTTAAAAGTATAAAAAACCACTATTTAACTATGTGTTATATTAAGCTTGAACATTCTTGACAAAGTGAGTGATTTTCTCAAAAATAAAACCCATAAATTGCCAAACATTAATGAAAATAAGTAGAAAATACCCACACAGTGAGGAAATTTTTTTTTACAAATTTATTCATTTATGCATACAAGAGCTGGGGTACAGGCCAGAGATGTGGGGGGTGAGAGAATTCACCAAAGACAGAGTGGGGAACAGAAAAGGCAGATTGACTGAAATACACTGCTGAGGGGAACAGCGGACGAGACAGGAGAGGTCTGCTGTGCCATGTGGGCTGCTCCCTGGCCAGCCAGGAATCGAACTCATGCTACAGAAGCTGCAGATTGCCTCTAGTGCGGTGCTTAACCCCTTGCACCACCAGGGAGGCAGTGAGGAAAATTTTCAAACGATCAAGTTTTGGGTTTTTTAAAAGATTTATTTATTGATGCATACAAGAGTTGGCCAAAGGTGTGGGGATTGAGAGGATTCACCAGAGACAGAGTGGGGAGCAGAACAGGTGGAGCTGCTGAAATACACTGCTGAGGGGAGCAGCAGGCGAGACAGGAGGGGTCTGCTGCACCATGTGGGTAGCTCCCTGGACGGGGATCAAACTCATGCTGCAGTAGCTGCTTCACAGTGCTGAGACTTAACACCTTGCCCCACTAGGAAGGCCCTCAAGTTTTTTTTTTTTTTTTTTAAAGAATTGTTCAAACAACTTGATCTGGGTGAGGACTTGGGCTTTCTTGCTGGGTGAGGTGGCAAGGTTCTGAGTGGAAAGGTATCAAGTGACAACATTTCAGCAGTGACCAGTGTCACTCGCCACTCAATAAAGGAAGCTGGGGATGGGCAGAAGAAGGGGCACCAGGTCTCTTAGTACAGGAATCCCATAAGAAATTTCAGTGGCAGGTCTAGGGGCAGCTGTGGACAAAATGAACTTGGGATAGCTATACTGATACAAAAATAAACCATCTTTGGCCTGAGACCCAAGAAACACATGGTCGACCTTCACTGAAATGGGGAAGGTCATCCTGGGAGGGGGCATTGTGGGAGTGTAGGTAAGGAGTTCGATTTTGGACATGGAAATGTTAAAATACATAGGGGGCGTGCAAGTGGAGTTATTGGGAGAATCTGAATGGGCAAGGCCAATAATGTATATAAAGAAATAAATAACCTAAAATATCAAGTAAAAGAAAGAAATATAAAATAATACTGAAGGGCACTGGTCTGGCATTTAGTAAATACACATTACATTGTTCAACTTTTTCAAGTGGAAGTGTAGTTTTGTCCCTCAATACACATAAAAATGTAAAACTGAGAAGTAGAATAAATATGTCCTTAGTGCATAGGAATTATTTAATTCAAACTTTCAGCCTCTGTCATTCATACCTAAACAGATATTTGTCTTCATGCACTTCCTTCCTAATTCTGTATAGTTTCATTATTCCACATTATTCAGGGAATTTCCAATTCTGTGAGTCATCACCGATAATTTGTTGTGCTTACGTACTCTATTTCTCTCCCTTACACATTAGGGAAATATCTACTCTAGTTTCCTTTTAATTGTGTTTTGTTTTGTTTTTGAGATAATGTCAGTTTACAAATATAGTTTTTAATTTAAATGATTTTTATGGTTTCTTTTTAATATAAATGTTCCTGATAAAAAGTTTAACTGACAGAGTGGTCCAAAAGATAGTGTAAAGGGGTCTCCTTTACCCTTGTCCCTGAATGCCACCCTGTCACTGGTTTCTTGGGCAACTCTATCTATGTGTGTATAGTCTCTCTATATACAAATACACTCATCCATATTTAAACCATACATATACCTCAACTCTAAAATTTTTAATTTACTTAATAGTATACTCTGGAGCTTCTTTGGCTTAGCATATAATGTTTGCATTCATCTATAATGTAGCATGTAACCATGCTCTCTTCCTTTTTCATTGCTGACTAGTATTCCATTACATAGACATACTATATATTTTGTTTCTTCATTCTCAAGTTTTTGGACTTTTGGGTTGTTTTCACTTTTTAGCTACTATGAATAATAATGTTCATATATGAGTTTTTGCATGGATGCATATTTTCATTTCTCTTGGGTATAGACCTAAGAGTGGAATTGCTTGGCTATACAGTAACTCTAATATTTTCAGGAACTTCCAAACAGTTTTTTTAAAGTGGGTCTACCATTTTACATTCATCTGCAGTATGGAAGGAGTCCTACTTCTCCACATCTTCATCAACACTCACATTGTTTTCTCTTTCATGTGGATGTGAAATGGTATCTGGCTGTGATTTTAATGTGCTGTACAGAAACCTTTCATTTAACAACTAAATTAAAATTTTTTTACCATGTGTTTTAATACTTTGTATTTTTACCCATTTTTCCTCTCAATACCATTGATAAAATGTGAGTTTTAAGGGAGTGTAAGGCTAAATTGAACTGTAATCCATTCCTTGGGCCAATTTGTTTCAACTTTATTTTCATACCATAAATTTTTAATGATAATCTCTTTATAAAGTGCTTTATTAACTCTGGAAAACTCTCATTATTGCCTGCCTCTTCCAATAAATAGTCTGATATATTTGCCTTCACTTTTTGCTTTTTCTCTAATTCTAACTTAAAATGTTTATAATAAATTAGGGCATACAAACACTTGTACACCTTCTTTCTTTTGTCTAAGTGATGCTTCTGTAACTCTATCAAGTTCATTGAAGTGTTCTGCTGTGACTTCGGTGGCATTGCTGAAGATTGTACACCTACATCTATAACTTAGAGGGTTTTTCCCTTTTACTTTTTGTGACCATAAGTACTGGCAGCCTAGTCAATGCAGGTTGCCATAACAGAATACCCTGGGCTGGGTGACGGATGGAACTCCTATTTATTTCTTGTAGTTCGTGTGGTCAAGAATTCCAAGGTCAAGGTGCAGGCTGGGAGCACTTTGTCCTTTGTATCCTCCTGCACCCTCCCAGCAAGCTCTCTCTTGCTTCTTCCTATCAGGATGTCCCATCCATCATGTGGACCCTGCTCAGGACCTCATCTAACCCTAACTCCCTCCCAAAGGGCCCACCTGCAAACACCAGCACGCTGGGGGTTCAGGCATCAACACGCAAATCGGGAGAGGGACACGCACAGCCAGCCTTGGTTTGTTCATGGTTCTTTTCTTCTTAAGGATTTGATCCTTTGTGTTTTTTTTAAAGATTTATTTATTTATGCATACAAGAGCTGGGGTACAGGCCAAAGGCGTGGGGTTGAGAGGATTCACCAGAGACAGAGTGGGGAGCAGAACAGACTGACTGAAATACACTGCTAAGGGGAGCAGCGGGCAAGACAGGTGAGGTCGGCTGCGCCATGTGGGTAGCTCCCTGGCCAGAGATTGAACTCTTCCTGCAGTGCTGCGGATAGCTTCGTACTGCTGAGACTTAACCTTGTGCCACCAGGGAGGCCCTGATCCTTTGTTTTTACAAGTATCACTCATTTAAAAAATTTTAAAAAAAGTATCACTCATAACCCAGTAACTCTTCTTCAGAACTGATTTTCTTTTCTAACCACAGTAGGGGGCTCTGTTATGTTAGAATATGCCATTTGCGTGGGATTATCTAAAGGCCTGGAACTTTGTAGTTATATTCCTCACACTTTACAGACATACAACCAAGCGTACCATGCTCTTTTCCTTTTCTACCTTCCTTTCGCATCCTTTCGCATACTGACCTATTCTGGTCCATTCCATATTGTTGGACAAGGTCTCTAAAATCATGTGATGTAGCCCCTTGTGCCAAAGTGTCATTTAATGGTGCCCTGTGAGGGAGAGCCATCCATGCATTTTCTCCTTAAGAGTGTTTACTCTTACTTGGTTAAAGAATACTTCATTGTCATAAGAAAGGAGATTTTAAGGCCTCCACTGGTGGCCTTGAGTTTGTCTCAGCGCTGTCACCCTGTCACCAGACTGAGTTCCATCCCTGGCCAGAAAGCTGACCCACATGGCTCAGCAGACCTCTCCTGTCTCCCTGCTGCTCCCCTCAGCAGTGGATTTCAGTAGATCCCCCTGGTCTGCTCCCCACTCTGTCTCTGGTGAATCCTCTCACTCCCATATACCTCAGGCCTATACCCCAGTTCTTCCACACAATAAAATTAAAAAAAAAGAAAGAAAATTGCCAATCTCAACTTTGTTGGAGTTTTGCTGTGAAAGGAAGTTGGCATCTGCTCTGAGAATTATTTCATTTTCTTTGACTAGTTGACTGTCATGATCAGTTGGATTTGAAGGGCATTGATGCCGCAGTCCCTGGGAGGTGAATCTCGAAATGAGAGGAGGAGGGGTTGTCCTCTGGGCCAGGTGTGGCAGGAAGTGACACCAGGGAGGGTGGGGTTGGGCAAAGGCCAGTGCCTGGAGCAGCTGTGTTGGGGACTGTTTGTGGTGGAAAGTTCTCTGGAAGTAGGGTGTCTTTTTTGCTGCACTGGAATTTGGAATAATGGAGAGAACACCATGTCTACTCTCTCCATAGGGGTTCCACTATGGAAACAACCTGCAAATCCAGCTCCAAACACAAAACGTGGCCCAGACACCTGTGACACACTCTTGGCCTGGTCCCTAGAGCATCTATGATGAACCAGGAGACCAGGTTGGTGATTGTTCCCTTTGTCTCCTCGCTTTCCCGCCCGTCAACTCTTCACTTCCCTCCTACTGCCAACTGCCAAACTGTTTCCCCCGATACAGCAAACCTACCCTTAGCCACTAGTAAGCAGTGAACATCCCAGAGGCAGAAATTCAAGAAGGACCTTGAGATAACATCTACCCATTTTATAGATGATAGGGTCAAGGCCCAGGCAGGCAAGAAAGTTGCTCAAGGTAATACTATGAGAGTATTAGCTACTAGGGGCTCGTTTATGCTGCAGTAACAACCAACCTTCAAAACCCCAATTGCTTACCACAGTGGGAACTTCCTGCTTCTTGCTTTTTGTCCATTGTAAATCCACTGGGACCTCTATTTCACATTATCCTCTTTCCAGACCCAGGCTACCCTGCTGGACCCGGTGGTAGAGGAAAAGAGAGAGCATAGCGAATCACGTGTTGGGTCTGAAAACTTGTGCACATGTGTGCCATGGACATATTTCATTGTTTCAAAGCAAGTTTCAAAGCATTGTTTCAAAGCATGTTTCAAAGCAAGTGTTGTGACCAGGCCCAGTTTCAAGGGGGCAGGAAGTACACCCCTACTGAGGGGCTAGAAAGAAGAGAAAGGGGTTATATCTGTGAACAGCCCTAATGCCTACTACGGAAAATTAGGTACAAAGCTGGAACAGGATTGCTAGTCTCCTAATTCTGGAGCGAAGGATTTTTCTGCTATCATCTCTGTCTCCAAGACTTTTTTCCATGAAGTCTCCATGACTAATAATGATGCGATGTGCCTTTGCTGACAGGGTGGTTATCCCAACAAGCTTGATGTTCACCATCAAACTCTAATGCCAGAAACAAAGGTCTTGTGTTATACTAGTGGGAGGAGAAATTTGAGGATGAAGAACTTCTCAGAAATCACTCCACCCAGACCTTTTCCCCCATCTGCTGCCTCTGCCCTGGATGATATCTTTATGGGCAGCATGCACTTTGGACACAATAAGCCTAGGTTATGGCCATGTCCACTTGCCAAGAATACATTAAGTCTAGGGGCTTGGTCTGGTAATTTACAGGCCTGGGGGAGGGGGCAAGAGATCTCAGTTCTGAGCCACGGATATAGCTATGACCTTGGGCACATCATTTCCCCTTCTTTGACCTTACCATCTATTCAATGAGGATGTTTACTCCGTGGGTGGGAGCATGTTTTATGAATTCATGACTGTTTCTAACTCTGTGCCTGAGAAAGGAGTAGTTGCTGTTGGTCTAATTGTGGAAGGATGAGCAAAGAGGGCTGAAGACTCAGCCTCTGCTGAGTCTGAGCCCCAGGACACAGAGTCCTCTGCCCCAGCCTCTGGGAGATGGGAAGTCACTTCCTCAGTGAGCCTCCCACCTTTTTCAGAGTTAGAAGTGGAGTTTCTTGGAGTTGTGAGGATTTAATGAGATCTCTCAAGTGCTTAGAACTGTGTCTAACACACAGTAAGTGCTTTTGAAGTGCTTACTATTATCATAAAGGAATAGTATAATCCACTGCATGATGGACAGCAACTGGCTAATTAATCCAGAATTATTAGACATTTAGGTTAGTTTTAGGGACAGTTTTAAGTATTATAAGTAATCTTGAAATGCACAGTTTTGTACTTGAAATTTTAAATCCTCCATGATTACTCCATTTTGAATGCTAGCAACAGAATTGCTGAATCAAAAGACCAAATACTTTTCAGGTTTTCGTTATTTAGTGCTCCTTAATTTAGATTAGTACTACTACAAACAGGTTTTTTGAGAGCTCCAGATTAGGTGAGAATTTGGTTAGAGAGAGTGGAGACAGTTTGTATCAGCTAGGATTAGATTTCACCAAGAACAAGAGAAAGCCCTAAACAACAGTGATTATAACCGAATAGAAATAGATTTCCTTTTCCTTTTCTTGTATTAAGAAATAGATTTCTTAATACAAGTTCAAAGTCAGAGTCCAAGGCAGGTGGATAGCGTTAACCCCCACCATCCTCAGCACTGGCTTCTGCCTCATGATCCAACATGGCTGCCCAGGTTTTAGCCATCACATCAACATTCCAACCAAATGGAAGAAGCCAACTTCTACCTACATCCCATAGGCCAAACTTAATTCCCTGGCTGCATTTAACTACAAGGGAGGCAAGAAAATATATTTGATTCCAGATAACCAGAGAATATTCAGGGGTTCTAAGTACTAAGGAAGAAGAGAAGAACAAATTTTGGGGGCCAATTAGTTGTCTCTGCCATGTGCTTAGCTTAGAGAGAGCAGCACAGATGAGTCCATGGAAACAAGAATGAACAAACCATCCTCAGGGGACCATCCATAGGGATGAACGAGATCATTCCAGAACTAGGATACAGACACACTTGGCGTGGGGGGCAGGGAATGCATGTGTGATAGGGATATAGAAGCAGGATCTCTGTGGTGATTCCTGGCCAGAGGCATTGAGAATCCATGGAAAAGGTCCATCTGTCTAATCTCTGCCCCTCAGCTATGGGGGTCCCTGGCTTCTCCCTAACTGAGTTTTCCCCATCTTCACCTGCCTGCTAACTCAGCTACCCCCTTCAATAGCCACCCTTCGCACCTGCCCCTAACTCACCTAGCTCCCAGCTCATCTGCTCCCCAGTTCACCTCTAAACTCACCTGTCCCCCAGCGTACCTGCCCCCCCAGTTCACCTACATACCTTGTGCCTGCAGGGCCAGCTCCTCATGGACCCCCTTAGCATCCAGCTGGGCAGCAACAACCTGTGGAGCTGGCTCGTGAGCCTGCTCTGCACACACCTAGAATGGCTGAATGCCAAGGTGAAGTTCTTCCTCCCCAACATGGACCTGGGCTCCAGGAACGAGGCCACAGACCCCACAGAGAGGGTGAACCTACAACTCAAGAAGCTATACACCCAAGGTCAAGCCACCTGGCAGGGATTCATCAACTGTGTGTGCATGGAGCTGAGCGTGCCCCTGGATATGGAGGTGCTGCTGCTGAGCATGTGGGGACATGGAGAAGGTAGGTGCAGGCACAGAAGGTACAAAGCACCCTGCTAGCTCCCATGTCGTGGGGACCCCAGGGAGGCCCAGGGAAGGCCTGTGTCACACCGAGAGGACATGACCAAGACTAGAACAAAATCCATGCTTCTGGATACTTCCAGAGCAGTCTTTAACGCTACCAATCATCTGGGGGGCCTGGGGAAGCCCTCTCCCCCTGTCCCACCCCAGTTGCCCAAGGAAGGATGATACAAGGAGAAGGGATCAGATGATTCCTTCTGGTCAGGAAATTCCAAATAGCCCATCATACCTGCGAGGTTTTTCTTTGCAAGGTGGGGGGAAACAGACAGTGAGATCCCTCTGACCTCTGACTGCTACTGATGGGAGGGGCGTTGACCTTGCAAGGTCATTTCTTGGGCACTTTCTGCTTACACAGCACTTTGGGGAAAGCTAACATTAAGGCAAGAAAGCGGAAACTCACTCAAGAACTCCCCCATGAGTTTCTCTTTGTTTTGGTTATTGTCTCTTTTGCTGTGCAGAAGCTCTTTAATTTGATGTAGTGCCAGCTGTTTATCTTTGCCTTCACTATCACTGCTTTGGGTGATGTGTCTGTAGAGATGTTTGTTTTTTTAATATTTTTTTATATAATTCTTCCATCATTTTTCATTTTTGCACAATGTATGCGTTTTCATTTTGGTTATATTCCCCATACAATTCCTACCCCCCTTATTTTGGCCCTAATCCCTCCTCTCCTTCCCGCCTCCCCCCCTACACACCCATTAGTGTGTCTCTGGTTTATAGTTGCTTGTTAGTTCCTTATTTAGGTTTTCTAGATTCCTGCTATGAGTGAGACCATCCGATATTTTTTTTTTTTTTTTTTCTGGCTTATTTCACTGAGCATGATCCCTTCCAGCGCCATCCATGTTGCTGCAAATTGCATGAGTTTATCTTTTTGATTGCTGAGTAATATTCCATTATATATATGAACCACATCTTCTTGATCCAGTCATCTATTTTTGGGCATTTGGGTTGTTTCCATAGCTTAGCTATTGTAAATAGTGCTGCCATAAACATAGGGGTTTAATGTTTCTGTGTGCTTTGGGTAAATACCTAGGAGTGGAATTGCTGGATCATATGGAAGCTCTATCTTTAGTAGGTTGAGGACTCTCCACACAGCTTTCCATAGTGGTTGGACCATTTTGCACTCCCACCAGCAGTGCAGGAGAGTTCCTTTTCCTCCACATCCTCACCAACATTTGTTGTTGCTGTTTTTTTTTAATATGTGCCATTCTCACTGGTGCAAGATGGTATCTCATGGTAGTTTTGATTTGCATTTCCCTGATTACAAGTGATGTTGAATATTTTTTCATAACCGTTGGCCATTTGCATTTCCTCTTCAGAGAAGTTTCTTTTTAGCTCTTCTGCCCATTTTTTGAGTGGATTATTTTCTTGGTTTTTGTTGAATCTCATCAGCTCTTTGTAGATTTTTGTGATCAGTCCTTTATCATTAGTGTTGTGTGCAAAAATTTTCTCCCAATCAGTGGGGTTTCTCTTAGTTGTGGTTATTGTCTCTTTTGCTGTGCAGAAGCTCTTTAATTTGTTGTAGTCCCAGCTGTTGATCTTTGCCTTCACTATCACTGCTTTGGGTGATGTGTCTGTGAAGATATTTTTGAGGTGCATGTCATGTAGTGTTTCGTCTATATTTCCTTCTATATATTTTATGGTTTCAGGTCTTATGTATAGTTCTTTAATCCATTTTGAGTTGGTTTTTTTGCATGGTGTGAGGTAGTAGTCAAGCTTCATTCTTTTGCATGTAGTGTCCCAGTTTTCCCAGCACGATTTATTGAACAAACTTTCTTTGCTCCATTGCATATTCTTTGCTCCTTTCTCAAAGATTAGTTGACTGTAAATCTGTGGGTTTATGTCTGGATTTTCTATTCAGTTCCATTGGTCTGTGTGTCTGTTCTTGTTCCAATACCATGCAGTTTTGATGATTATGGCTTTGTAGTATAGTTTGAAATCTGGGCGTGTGATGCCTCCATTCCTTTCTTTTTTTTTTTTTTTTAAGGAGAGCTTTGGCTCTTCGGGGTTTTTGGTGTCTCCATATGAATTTCATCAATATTTGTTCTATTTCTTTTGAAGAATGTTATTGAAATTTTTATTGGAATAGCATTGAATCTGTAAATTGCTTTTGGTAGGATGGCCATTTTGATAATGTTAATTCTTCCAATCCATGAGCAGGGGATGTCTTTCCATTCTTTGTGTCTTCTTCTTTTTCTTTTAACAGTGTTTTATAGTTTTCTTTGTATAGGTCCTTTACCTCTTTTGTTAGGTTTATTCCCAGGTATTTGATTTTCTTTGTTTCAATAAAAAAGTGGGTTTTTTTTATTTCTTCTTCCAATTTATTGTTTGTGTATAGGAAGGCTACTGATTTTTGTGTGTTGATTTTGTATCCTGCCACTTTACTAAACTTACTGACTAGTTTAATTAGTTTTTCTGTGGAGTTTTTGGGGTTCTCTATGTATATTATCATATCATCTGCGAAGAGTGATAGTTTGACTTCTTCTTTTCCTATTTGGATTCCTTGTATGTCTTTCTTTCGCTTGTCTTATTGCTCTGGCCAGGGCTTCCAGTATTATATTGAAAAGCAGTGGTGAGAGTGGACATCCTTTTCTTGTTCCAGATCTTAATGGAAATGCTTTCAGCTTTTCACCACTGAGAATGATATTAGCTATGGGCTTGTCATATATGGCCTTTATGATGTTGAGGTATGTTCCTTATATCCCAAGGATTTCAAGGGCCTTTATCATAAATGAGTGTTGTACTTTGTTGAAAGCTTTCTCATATCTATTGATATTATCATATGGTTTTTATATTTCTTTTTGTTGATATGTTGAATTACATTGATTTTTTCAGATGTTGAACCATCCTTGTGTCCCTAGAATAAATCCTACTTGGTCAGGGTGAATTATCTTATGGATACATTGTTGAATTCTGATAGCTAAAATTTTATTGAGGATTTTTGCATCAGTGTTCTTTAGAGAGATTGGCCTGTAGTTTTCTTTTTTAGTGTTGTCCTTGTTTGGTTTTGGTATTAGTTTAATGTTGGCTTCATAGAACGTGTTTGGTATTATCCCCTCCTCAATTTTTTTTTAAAGATTTATTTATTTATTTATATAAGCACTGGGTACAGTCAGAAGCACGGGAGGGTGAGAGAATTCACCAGAGCCAGAGCGGGGAGCAGAACAGGCAGATGGACGAAGTACACTGCTGAGGGGAGCAGCGGGCAGCAGGAGACGTCTGCGCGCCATGTGGGACCCTCACCCAGCGGCCAGGGATCGAACCGGCACTGCAGAGGCTGCGGGCAGCTTTGTAACCCAGCGCTCAACCGCTGCGCCACCGGAGAGGCCCTCCTTCTCAATTTTTTGAAAGAGTTTGTGAAGGATAGGCACTAATTCGTTTCTGAATGTTTGGTAGAATTCATTTGTAAATCCATGTGGTCCTGGGCTTTTGTTTTTGGGGAGGGTTTTTTTTTTTTAAAGATTTATTTATTTATTCAGTCAGAAGTGCAGGAGGGTGAGAGAATCCACCAGAGCCAGAGCAGGGAACAGAACAGGCAGACTGATGAAATACACTGCTGAGGGGAGCAGTAGGCACAGCGGGAGAGGTCTGTCGCACCATGTGGGACTCTTGCCGGTGGCCGGGGATCGAACCAGCGCTGCAGAGGCTGTGGGCAGCTTCACAACCCAGTGCTGAACTGCTGAGCCACCAGGGAGGCCCTGGGGAGGGTTTTGATTACCAGTTCAATTTTACTGCTTGTAATTGGTCCATTTACGTGTTCTATTTCTTCTTTATCTAGCCTTGGGTGATTGCAGAGTTGTAGGAATTTGTCCATCTCCTCTAGATTGTTGAGCTTGTTTGCGTGTAACTGTTCATAGCAGTTTCTGATTATTCTTTTGGTTTCTGCTGTGTCTGCTGTGATTTCTCCCCTTTCATTTGTGATCCTATTTATTTGTGCTTTCTCCTGTTTTTCCTTTGTGAGCCTGGCTAGGGGTTTGTCTGTTTTATTTATTTTTTCGAAGAACCAACTTTTGGTTTCATTGATCTTTTGGATTTTTTTTTTAGTTTCGATTTCATTTATTTCTGCTTTGATTTTTATTATTTCTTTTCTTCTACTGGTTTTGGTTTTTGTTGTTGTTCTTTTTCTAGTTCTTTGAGCTGTGAGTTTAGGTTGTTTCTTTGAGTTCTTTCTTATTTGTTGATGTGAGCCTGTTTTGCTATATCGTTTCCTCTTATTATTGCTTTTGCTGTGTCCCATACATTTAGGATATTGGTGTCCTCCTTGTCATTCAACTCAAAGTATTTTTTAATTTCTTCTTTTATCTCCTCATTAGTCCAGTGGACTTCCAGTAGTATGGGTTTCAATCTCCATGAGGTAGGAGAGTTCCTTGCCATCTTTTTATGATTTATTTCTAGTTTGATGCCTTCATGGTCAGAGAACATGGTTGGTATGATTTCAATCTTGGTGTATCTGTTGATGTTTGTCTTGTGTCCCAGTATGTGATCGATCCTGGAGAATGAGCTGTGTGTGCTTAAGAAAAATGTGTACTTGGATTTTTTTGGGTTTAGTGTTCTAGTTTAGTTTAGTGTTAAGCCCATGAGCTCTAGGTCCTTATTTAGAGCTTTAATGTCCTTACTTATTTTTTGTCTCATTGATCTATCCATTGTTGATAGTGATGTGTTTAAGTCTCCTACTACATATGTGTTTTCTCTGATGTCTGTTTTCAGAGATGATAATAGTTGTCTGATATATTTTGGTGCTCCTTCATTTGGTGAGTATATGTTAATGAGTGTTATTTCTTCTTGAAGTATTGTCCCTTGATCATAATGTAGTGACCCTCTGGGTCTCTTTGTACCTTTTTGAGTTTGAAATCTGTTTTATCTGATATAAGTATAGCTGTTCCTGCCTTCTTTTTTGGTCCATTTGCTTGTAGGATTGTTTTCCATCCTTTTACTTTCAGTCTATTTTTATCTTTTGTAGTTAAGTGAGTTTCCTGGAGACAGCAAAAGGTTGGGTTTTGTTTCTTAATCCAGCCTGCGACTCTGTATCTTTTTATTGAAGAGTTTAGTCCCTTTACATTTAGAGTTAATATTGATATGTTAGAGTTTGTATTTGCCGTTTTGTCTTTTCTCTGGTTTTATTTATTTATTTATTTATTTATTTATTTATTTTTAAATTTTTTTCTCTTGTTTCATTCTTACTCATCCCTCTGTTGGTTCTGGCTTTAGGACTCCTTGTAGTATTTTTTGGAGTGGGGGTTTAGTCGTAATGAAATTTCAGAGTTTCTGTTTGTCTGGGAAGGTCCTTATTCTTTGTTCATGGAGGAAGGAAAGCTTTGCAGGATAGAGTATTCTTGGTTGGCATTTATTGTCTTGAAGTCTGTTGACTATGTCCCTCCACTCTCTCCTTGCCCGCGTAGTGTTTCTTTAGAGAGGTCTGATGTCAGCCTGATTGGTTTTCCTTTGTATGTTATCTGTTTCTTCCCTCTTGTCAGCTTCATTATTTTTTCCTTGTCTTGGATTCTTGGGAGCTTTACTATTATGGGTCTTGCTTTATTTTTCCTTTCATCATGGAAGTTTGGTGTTCTTCTTGCTTTTTGCATGTCTATTTTCAGCTCTTTCTTCATGTTTAGGAAGTTCTCTTCAATTATTTCCTTGAATATTTTCTCTGTTTCTATGTCTCTCTCCTCTCCTACTGGGATTCCTATAACTCTTCTATTTCCTTTCCTCATGGAGTCAGATGCCGAAGTCTTTCTTCATTCTTTTTCATTTGTACTTCTCTTTCCTTTTCTGTTTTGGTTCTTTTTATTTCTGTGTCTTCAAGAGTACTTATTCATTCTTCCATTTCATCTATTCTGCTTTCACTGCTTTTCCCAGAGTTCTTTAGTTCCTCCATTAATTCTTTGATCTCCTGCATTTCTTTCACTTCCCTCTTAGGGGACTCAGTTTCATTCTTCTGATCATTGATTATTTTTCCCTTATCATTGTCATTAAATGACTTCTGTCAATTTTTTAATCATGGCAATTTTAAATCCTCTTTCTGGGAGGCTCAGAAGTTCTTCCAAGTCACTGTTGTTGCATTCTGGTGGGTGATTTTCTTTTTGTGGTATGTCTTTTCACTGTTGACTTGCTAAGTTGCTTGTAGTTTTTCTTCTCCCTGCTGCTTGTTTTCTAATTTGTCCTATGTGTTGGGAAACTGTCACTGGCTGGCATCTTTCTGGTGTGCTTTTTCTGAGATGTCAGAAACTGGTGGTCCAATTGAGTCAAATACTCTATGCCAGAAGTCCAGTAGGGCAGTGGTACTATGCATATGTTAATGGTCTCTATGACAGAGTATCTTCTCCTTCTGTATTTGTTTAATTCCAAAGATGTGCCTTGAGGTCCCCCAGACTGCCCTGGAGGTGAGGTGGCTGGATTGTCTGCTGGACTCCAAATCGCTGGATCCCCCTCTGTGCTCCAGCTCCCTGCCAGGCGAGGCCTGGCTTGTGGGGGCCTTCCGCTCACCTCTGGCTATGGGGGCAGCCCTTTCCCAGTTCCACACAGTCTCAGTGGGTTCTGGAGGCAAAGATCCCTACTCTAAAATGGCGAGTCAGAAGGGCACTTCCCTGCACCTGCGGTCTGCCTGGGCGGTGTCTGGATCCCCCTTTGGGCTCCAACTGGAGTCTACCAAACAGGACCTGGCTTATGGGGCCCCTCAGCTCACCTCTGGCTGTGGGGTAAGCCCTTTCCCGGTTCCAAGCAGTCTCAGTGGTGCTGGACACATAGGCAAAGATCCCTATTCTAAAATCACCATTTTAGTCAGGAGCACTCTTCCCTGAGCCCGTGGTCTGCCCCGGCTTCAACTGGATCCCCCTCTGGGCTCCAACCTGTAAAGATGTTTTTGTGGTTCATGTCATGTAGTATTTGGCCTATATTTCCTTCTATATATTTTATAGTTTCGGGTCTTATGTCTAGTTCTTTAATCCATTTTGAGTTGGTTTTTGTGCATGGCATGAGGTAGTAGTCAAGCTTCATTCTTTTGCATGTAGCGACCCAGTTTTCCCAGCACCATTTATTGAAAATGCATACATTGTGCAAAAATGAAAAATCATGTAAGAATTATATAAAATAAAAAAATATATAAATATATAAATAAAAGAACTCCCCCACAAGGTAGGAAACACGGGGTCAGTGTGCACGCACTTGCCTATTCACACAAGTGTGTACATAACACCATGCACATGGGCAAACATACATACATGTGTGAACATAACACCGTGCACATAGGCAAACATGCACACATGTGTGCACAGTCATGCACAGACTTGCACACGTCTACATGCACTGGCACAAGCTGGCATGTCCACACACATGTCTACCCATGACTGTCTTCAAGGTTCGCCACCCGCTGGGTGCACCATGGAGAGCTGAGTGTGAACTGGGTTTTTCCCTTGCTGGGGACCACCCTGGGGGGTGAGCGCGGAGCCAGATCCTAGGCCAGAGCAGGCCCCACAGCATCCACCCCTTCCCTCAGCTCTTCTATGCTCCCTTCTCTTCCAGGGTTCCCCAGCCAGGTGGAAGCTGGTGAAGAAAGCCAGCCTGAAGCTAAGCTTAACCAAGGTGAGTCCTGGGGGTGGGGAGTGGGACATTCAGGTCCCCACACAATCCAGAGGAGGCAGCTGTTGACTGGCTACCACTGCTTCCCACAAGCCATCCTCCTCCTGTCCCCCAAACCATGTGAAGGGGTCCCCTCCCTCAGCCCCAGTTTTGCCTGCTCTATGCGTTTCTTATTTTTTTTTTGTTTAACTTTTATTTATTTTTTATTTTCTATATATTTTACATCATTCTTCATTTTTGCACAATGTATGCTTTCTCCTCTCAGGTGTATTCCCCTTAAAATTCCCACCATTCATTCACCCGTGCACCATCACCATAGTCTCTTGTGTTCTTCCCTCCCCTATTTTGATCCTTCTCCCTCCTCCTCCCCTACAGAATGTCTATGATTTATAGTTGCCTTTTGATTTTTATTTTTTATTTATTATAATTACTTTTTTTTCCTGATTCCCTAATTTGGTTCCTCTACATTCCCCCTATAAGAGAAACCATCCAATATTTTTCTTTTTCTTTCTGCCCTATTTCACTGAGCATAATCCCTTCCAACTCTATCCATGTTGCTGCAAATGGCATGAGTGTATCTTTTTGATGGCTGAGTAATATTCCGTTTTGTGTATAAACCACATCTTCTTGATCCAGTATCTGTTTTTTCTATAACTTACCTATTGTAAAAAGTGCTGCAATAAACATCCCTCTATGCCTTTCAAGGCTTTGTTCTGTTTTGTTACCCATCCCCAGGGGTGTAACATGGAGCCTCCTGGGAAAGTCTGAAATTGTCATTCCCTAGCTACTGTGAGAACCCCCTGTGTGGTTCCACTAGGGGAAGCCTGTTCTCACTTCCTGTCCCAAGCTGGGGGCCTGGAGCTCCAGCTCTCTGACACCTCAGCCTGAGCTGATCCATAGACTATGCTCCACACCCAGGAAGCCTCTTCCTGATTTTCTGATCAGGTGTCAGCAATCAAACAGTGACCAAAGATTCATGGGCCACAGTATCCTCAGAATATTTCTTTCTTCCCTTTTTTTTAAATTGTGGTAAAAACATGTAACATAAAATTTTCATCTTAACCATTGTTTTAGTCTGCAGTTGAGCCATGTTAGCTATGCTGGTTACTGTGCAACTGTCACCATCACTGTCTCCCTAACTCTCTTCATCTTGTAGAACTGAAACTCTAGATTCGTTAAATTCATGCTTCTGTTCCTCCCAGCCTCTGGTAACCCACATTCTACTTTCTGTCTTACTAATCTTGATTACTCATACATGCAATCATCTTGTAACTGGATTATTTCACTTAGGCTAGTGTCTTCAGGTTCAGTTATTTTGAATTTTTTATTTCTCTCTGTATTTTACATCATTATTCATTTTTGTACAGTTTGCTTTCTCCTCTCAGGTGTAATCCCCTAAAATTTCCACTACCAAGTCATCCATGAACCATCACCATAGACTCTTGTGCTCTTCCTACCCCTCTTCTTCTTAATCCCTCTTCCTCTCCCTCTCTTGCTGAATGTCTCTGATTTGTAGTTGCCTGCTAGTTTTGTCTTTTTTCCCCCTGAAACCTTATTTGGTTCTCCCATATTCCTCCTATAAGTGAGACCATCCGATATTTTTCTTTTTCCTTCTGACTTATTTCACTGTGCATCATCCCTTCCAGTTCCCTCCATGTTGCTGCAAATGGCATGAGTTTATCTTTTTGATGGCTGAATGGTATTCCATTCTGTACATATACCACATCTTATTGATCCAGTCATCTGTTTTGGGTCATTTTCTAGGTTGTTTCCATATCCTAGCTATTGTAAATAGTACTGCAATAAACACAGGAGTACAGGTCTCCTTTCAAATGAATGTTTTTGTGTCCCTTGGGTAGATTCCTAGGAGTGGAATTGCTGGGTCATATGGTAGCTCCATTTTTAGTAATTTGAGGTTCATCTATTTTTTAGCCTATTGTTGCATTGCCTTCCTTTTAAACCTAAACCATATTCCACTATATGCATACATTTTACTTATTTAATACACGCTACATTTTACTTATCTGTTCATCAATGGACACTCGATTTGCTTCCATGTTCTAGCTATTGTGAAAAATGCTGCCCTGGAAATGGGGAAACAAGTATCTCCTCAAGACTCAGCTTTCCATTCTTTTGTATGTATGCTCAGAAGTGCAATTGCTAGAACAGGTGGTAACTATTTTTATTTTTTTTGAGGCCTCTCCATTCTTCTCCCCAGAACAGTTATATCACATACTTTCCCACGTACAGTGAGCAAGGGTTCCAGTTTCTCCACATCCTTACCAGCATTTGCTGTTTTCTGTTTTGTTTTGTTTTCTTGAAGTTTGTAGCCATCCTAATGGGTGTGAGGTGGTGTCTCATGGTAGTTTTAATTTATATTTCCCTGGGGATTAGTTGCATCTTTCATGTGGTTATTAGCCATTTGTGCCTTCTTTGGAAAAGAAGTCTTTTCCCACATTAGAATTTTAAATCAGGGCTTCCTTTGTGGCACAAGGGAATGTCAGCACTGTGAAGCTATCCACAGCCTCTGCAGCACAAGTTCAATTCCTGGCCAGGGTGGTGACCCACATGGCACAGCAGACCTCTCCTGTCTCACCTGCTACTCCCCTCAGCAATGTATTTCAGTAGATCTGCCTGTTCTGCTCCCCACTCTGTCTCTGGTGAATCCTCTCACCCCCCACAACTCTGGCCTGTGCCCCAGTTCTTGTATGTATAAATAAATAAATCTTTAAAAAAATAAAGCCCCCATTGTTAAAAAAAAAAGAATTTTAAATCAGGTTGTTTTGTTGCTGTTACAAGTTTTTAATCCATAATATTTTTATCCATAATATTATGATAGATCAGAAATAGGATTTATAAATATTTTCTCCCAATCTGTGGGTTACCTTTTTACAGTCTCATGATGCACACATTTTAAAATTTTCATTCAAGTCCAGTTTGTCTGGTTTTTGTTTTGTTTCCTGTGCCTTTGGTATCCTATCCAAGAAATCATTACCAAATTCAATGTCATGAAGCCTTTGCCCTATCTTTTCTTCTAAGAGTTTTGTTATTTTGGGTCTTAAATTTAAGTCCTTGATCCATGTTAATTTTTGTCTATAGTATTAGATAAGTGTTCAACCTCATTTTTTTGCATGTGAATATTCATTTTTCTCAGTGCTATTGTTGAAAAGACTGTCCTTTTCCTATTGGATGGACTTGGAACCCTTCTCAAAAGTCATTTGACTATATATATAAGGGTTTATTTCTGGACTCTCTAGTCTATTCCATTGGTCTATGTGTCTATCTTTATGCCAATAGCACACTGTTTTGATTCTTGTACCTTCATAGTAAGTTTTGAAATCAGGAACTGTGAGCCCTATAGTTTTGTTCTTTTTTTCATAATTGCTTTGGCTACTCAGGATCTCTTGAGATTCCTGTGAATTTTAGAATGCATTTTTCTACTCTGGGAAAGCAATCATTGGGATTTTATAAAGATTATATTGATGCTGTAGATCATTTTGTGTGATATTGACATTTTGACAGTATTAAATCTTCCAATCCATGAACATGAGTTTTATTTTCATTTATTTATGTCTTCTTTAATTTTTTTCAGTAATACTTTCTCATTTTCTTTGTGAAAGTCTTTCATCTCCTTGGTTAAGTTAATATCTAAGGATTTTATTCTTATCGATGCCATCATAAATGGAATTATTTTTATAATTCCCTTTTGAGAATATTCACTGTTTGTGTATGGAAATACAACTAATTTCTTTGTGTGTTAACTTTGTATCCTGCTACGTTTCTAAATACATTTATTAGCTTGAACAATTTTTAGTAGAATCTGGGATTTTCTAAGTATAAGATCATATTATCTTCAAGCTAATCATTAGCTTCTTCCTTTTCAATTCATTTCCAATACTCCTTCCTTTGTTTCTTTTTCTTGCCTAATTACGCTGGCTAGAACTTCCAATTGCTCTGGCTAGAACAATCCAATATGTTGAATAGACATGGTGAAAACCACAGCCCTTCTTTGTTCCTGATCTTAAAGGAAAAGCTTCCAGTCCTTCACCATTGAATGTGACATTTGCTGTGGGTTCAGCACTTTATTTCCATAGAAGTATCAACTTTTAACTTATAGCTGTGCATAGCACCAACAGTCTTGAACAGGAAACATCCACCCCATGATCCTGTCTCCTCGACAAATCAAAGCTTTTTGTCCTGGTCCCTCTGACCCTTATCACTGAGCTGACCTATTTGTCACATTGCTCTGGCCAGGCTTGATTGCTGTTTAGCCAGCGAGTCCCTTGTTAACAGAGGACTTGAAAATTTTTGAATTATTCTCCAACTGGTTCCAGCACCTCTTTGATACTCCTGGGCCTCCCTGCAATCTTGAAACTAAAAGGTTGACACCCTGGCTGGGAGGTGAGGGGAAAGGGGCTTATTGCAGGGCTGTTCTGATACGTCACTAACATCTGGCTGTAGGATTCTGCTCTACTTCTTGAGAGTCTTCCATAAGTGCTCTCTCCCCTTCCTTTTTGCTTTCTTGTCCTTCCCTCCTCTCCCAGCCTCTTCCCGAAAAACATTAAAGTGTCTCTTATAAATCCATGTAACCAGACAGAACTCGTGGAACCATTAAAGGAAGGGAGGAAATGTGGAAGATATGAAATTAGGGTGCTAAACTCACTGTCACAGCAAGGAGGGTGCAGGTCTGGCCAAGACTCTTGGAAACTTTACTTCTCCAACCAGTTGTCGCCTCAACAAAACTGGGTCTTTCCTAAGCCAGTTAGTGCTTGGGGCTGAGTGTTTTTGAAGTTGCTGGCTGTGGGCCCTGCTTTTGCTCCTTGGACTGGGAGATCATACCCTCTACCCTCTGGCCAAGTCTGGGACAGCCTTCTGCAAACAGAAGCAGTCTTTGTCCCTGCCTGTCTTGGCTCAGTCCCTAAGTGTGGATATATTTATCTGCCTGCAACCTGTAAGTAAAATGGAGCTCTCCAATGGTGCTGGGGACACCCAGGTACCCAAACCCTATCCCTTAATTCCTTCATTCATTCTTTCTAGGTCTCAAGCGACCTCATCAAAACTGTGGATCCTCACCCCGCCGCAAACAGTGCAAGCAGCATCAACGAGGTGGGTACCAAGGTGGGAAGGACCTGATATAGGGATGCGTTGGGGCCAGCACACAGATCCTGGACTATGTCCCCTGCTGACAAGCTTCTAGGTGCCGGTGACTCTTATCTTCCAAGCTTCCAGGAAAGGAAGATTGATGGGCCTAGGTGGGTAAGGAGAGGCCTGAGTCTGGCGAGGAAGAACCTCCCCGAACAGGAGGTAAAAGGGCTTTTCCAGATATGGCTCAGCTCAAGGAGCTAGAAGCTTCCCTCAGGTCACAGCTTCATTGTCCAGGCTCTTTCAGGGACATGCCCATGTCCTCAGGTTTGAGGGAGCCCCAACATGACCTCAGACCTGGACCCTCATTGGGCAATTTAGAGTGAGCAGGATACAAGGGAGAACCCCTCAAGGCAGAAGCTCTAGGATTCCATGGGAAGATGTGGATGTTGCTGAGGACCAGTCAGGTCAGGGGGAACAGAGCAGGCAGAACTCTCAGGCTCCACCAGTTGACCCACCAGCTGGGAAAACCAATCCCCAAGCATAGCCAGAAGATTCATAGGTGGACAGAAGATTCACAGGCCACACCCACAGGATACCCCACCCCCAGTGATGGTCCTCAGAGATCCCCCATCAGTGGCCCCAGCCCTTCCCTTGGGCCACCCAAGCTATCTCAGTGACTGACTCAGCACTTAAAAGCTCAGTTATCTGTCACTGTAGAAACCCAGCTCTGGAAAGCCCAACTGACCAGTGCTTGGGCCTCCGCTTGTTAGTGCTCACCCCTGGGCACTGCAGAACTGAAATATTGGGAAAGGGTGCAGGTTACTCAGCTATCACTATAAAAGGCAGTTCTAGTAAGATTCTATAAAGGAATTATCCATCTTCCTCCCCCCCACCTCTGAAAATGTCTCACATACACCCTCACAGTAACAAAATAAATAGAATGATTCACACTTCCCCATTCAGACTTCCTTGTTTCAATAACTGCCAGAGACTTCTGTAAGCACTTGTGTGGAACCAATTCCTTCTAGGAATGAAGTTGGCAAAAGAGCTCCCTGTGTGCCCTTGGGGCCCTCCCTATCCCATTCATGCATAGATGAGGCTGCAGGCTAATGGCAGGATGAGGGGTTCTGGGGCTGGGACAGCTGCACTCACACCTCCTCCCTCTCCCTGCAGAGCTGGCCAAAAGGTACCTGCAGCTGCTGAGAACTTCGGCCCTTCAGCGCTATGGCAGTGGGTTCCCTGGCCCAGGGCCACCCCCCTCCCTCCACCAGCCCTATATACCCCCAATCTTGCAGTGGAACCGGGCCACTGCGCCCTTCAACACTCAGGAGGGGGCCATTATGGGGGACCTCAAGGCAGAAGATGACACTGATGCTTATCTCCGGGACCTCTTCAACACCAGGGCTAACAAGGGCCCGAGGGTGATGGTGCTCCTGGGGAAGACGGGCATGGGCAAGACCACCCTGGCCCACCGGCTCTGCCAGAAGTGGGCTTGCGGCCAGCTGGACCGCTTCCAGGCTCTGTTTCTGTTTGAATTCCGCCAACTCAAGTGGATCACAAGTTTGCTGACACTGCCACAGTTGCTTTTTGACCTGTACCTGAGCCCCGAGGGAGACCCGGACGCTGTCCTCGGGTACCTGACGGAGAATGCGGATGGAGTCCTGCTGATCTTTGACGGGCTGGATGAAGCCCTCCACCCAAGTGCCAGCAGGAAGACTGCAGGCCCTGAGGCCCCAGACTCAGCCCTCACCCTCTTCTCTGATCTCTGCCACGGGACTGTCCTGCCTGGCTGCTGGGTAATGGCCACTTCCCGTCCAGGGAAGCTGCCCGCCTTCCTGCCCACAGAGGCAGCCATGGTCCACATGTGGGGCTTTGATCGGCTGCGGATGGAGGAGTACGTGAGCCACTTCTTCAGTGAGCAGCCCCTGCAGGAGGCGGCCCTGGCAGAATTGCAGGCAAATGGACGCCTCCGGAGCATGTGTGCTGTGCCTGCCCTCTGCCGCGTAGCCTGTCTATGCCTCCACCACCTGCTCCAGGGCCACTCCCCAAGCCAGTCTGTGGCCCTCCTGCCCACCCTGACTCAGAACTACCTACAGATGGTGCTCACCCACAGCCCCCATGGGCCCCTGTCTCCTGAGTCCGCGCTCGGCCTTGGCGAGGTGGCCCTGAGGGGCCTGGAAACTGGGAAGGTCATCTTCTCTGCAGGAGACATCCTGCCACCCATGCTGGCCATTGGAGTGGCCCATGAGCTGCTGACCTCCTTCTGCATCCACACAGGTCCTGGGCACCAGGAGACAGGGTATGCCTTCACCCACCTTAGCCTGCAGGAGTTTTTTGCAGCCCTCTACCTGATGGCTAACCGCAATGTGGACAAAGACAGCGTTGCCAGCCACATCACCCTCAATTCCCGTTGGGTGCTGCGGACTAATGCTAGACTGGGTCTCTCAGAACATCTCCCCACCTTCCTGGCAGGTCTGGCCTCCCATGCCTGCCGTCCCTTCCTTAACCAGCTGGCACAGTGGGATCAGGTGTTGGGTGCAAAGCAGGCTGCTGTTGTGCAGGCATTGAAGAAGCTGGCCCACCGCAAGCTCACAGGACCAAAGGTTGTGGAGCTGTGTCACTGTGTGGGTGAGACCCAGGAATCTGAACTGGCTGGCCTCGTGGCCCAAAACCTCCCCTGTCGACTGCCCTTCCACAATTTCCCACTGACCTATGGTGACCTGGCTGCTGTGACCAACATACTGGGCCACAGGAAGGCCCCTATCCATCTGGATTTTGAGGGCTGCCCTCTGGAACCCTGCTGTCCTGAGGCTCTGGCAGGCTGTGGGCAGGTAGAGCATCTCAGGTGAGAGTCAGGGGAAGGGAGAGAAGGGAGGACCCACGAGGGCTCAGGGCTTTTGGGGAGAGGGAAGGTTACCATCTGGGAGTCCCCTGCTGAGCAAGAGAGGGTGAGAATCTAGACAGTGAGAACAAAAAGGCCCTTTCTGCTCCTTCCCAGTGACACAGTGAAGAAACCCTATGCCTCACCAGGACCTCTGAGGTCCAGTTGGATTCCCCTCTCACTGTGGGCCTGGGGTTCTGTCCAGGCTGTGCTTCTAGAAGCTGTTTGACATCTGCAGGCAAAGCATGGATTCTGGACACACTCCATGTGTTAAACTCAGTGCTGGAAATAGGGTACATTCATTCCACTCACATTGCATTGGTGAGAACATAGTCTTATGGCCACACCGAGCAGCAAAGGAGGCTGGGAAATGCCATCTCTGGCTGGGAGGGTTCCCAGCTTTAGCTGTATTTCCATAGATGAAGTGGAGTGGACTTGGGTGGACAATTTGCAGTCTCTGCCATACTGTGTATTTACTACTACAACAGTCACAACCACAGCCACCACCACTACTAATATTACTATATTAAGCTCCATCTGTTGGAGGAGGGAGTAGATGACAAACTCTCAGCCCTTCCCAGCACTGATCCTCAGTCACCTTACCTCTTTCTTTGGCAGTTTTAAGAGCAGAAAGTGTGGGGATGCCTTCGCAGAAGCCCTCTCCAAGACTTTGCCAACAATGGAGAACCTGAAGAAGCTGGGGTGAGTCACGACTTGGAGCCAAGAAACCTCTTCAGGAGGGATGCCTGGAATTCTCCTCCCTTCTCTTAACCCTACATAGGGAAGATTCTGGGCCTACTTCCTTCCCCAGCCCCATTCCATCCCACTATCTTTGCTTACCCTGTAGATTAGCAGGAACTAACATCACTGGCCGAGGGATCAGCCACCTGCTGCGGGCTTTGCCCCTCTGTCCACAGCTGGAAAAGGTCAGGTGAGTGATCTCCAGGAGGGCTCACCGGCTGGGAGGAGGAGTCAGTGGGAGGTGTCACTGCCCAGATGCTCAGGCTCCTCTGAGCCCTGAACAGGGCCTGAGTACTCCATCGAGTTCTGGCCAGTTGCTTGTCAGTGAGACTCAGAGAGGGGAGGTGTGAGTTCAGGAGTTGGGTGGGGCTACATCCAAATGCAAGTTTCCCAAAGACCCTAGAACAGTGCCTCTTCTGCCTTGAAGGAATTTGCATTTTGAGACCCTCTCCCCACTTTCTGTGACCCTGGAGAAGAAATGGTAGTGTGGAGGCCACCATGGGTGCGTGCAAATGTATGGCCCACACACATACTTTCACATTCATGCAACATGTGTGCACACTTGCATTAGCCTGCTCATTTAAGTACATGTCCCACACATGTCCATATACAAATACATGCACTTCCATCCACATGCATGTTTCAGTGCAAGTGAACATATGCACAGATATACTCCTGCCATGTGTCTGTCACCGAGCTCTGTGCCCTGTATCTGTGTCTGAGTGGTCTGAGAAGGGTGGGGGCAGGCACTCTCTGCCACAACTCATGTGCAGAACTACTGCTAGCTTATATGGCACCTTTATGAGATTTCAAAAGGGTACCCCTTTGTCCAGGCAAATGCAACCTGGCACTAGGATGCACCACTTGTTGAGTGGAGCAGTAGCTGGACCAAAGCTCTGCTCTCTCCCCTCCGCTGGGTGTTTTTGTTCATGAACACTCCAAGAAATGAGAAAAAAGACTGTCATTCCTCTCAATAAGAAGCAAGAGTAAATGCTAATGAATTCATATTCACAAGCCTTTATCTTGACGAGTGAGCACATGTGAAGGTGCCCTCACACTCTTTAGTTCTTTTGTTTCTCCAGCTGGAAACACAGGAAGGGCTGGGTCATGGACCCCATTTACAGGCAGGAAACTTGAGGTCAGGAAGGACTATAATTGGTGTTAGCTCTGAGTCAGGGACAGAGCTGAAGCTGGAAGCAGTGGCTCCTGCATCCTGGTCAGGATTCTGCCAAGAGGACCTGGGTTAGAGCCCCAGGCACATCCCAAGCATAGCCCTGAGAGCAGGATGCTGGATCTCCTCTTCCCACATCATGAGGCCTTCAGAATCCATCATCTGGATCCCTTGTGCTCCCAAGCAGGAATGCCCTCATGGGAACTGTATAGAAATGAGACCAGCAGAGAACCTATTTGCTTGCTTGCTGGATTCCATGGAGCAGGTCACCAGCTTGTTCTAGGCCTTATCTTGTGTCACCCACCTGAGGGTGGTCAAGCCTGTCACCTGCCAACTGGTGCTTTCAAGAACCCCAACCTGATGGCTGAGGGATAACGTCTTGGTCTCCCCACAGCTTACAGGACAACCAGCTCAAGGACCAGAATGTGCTGGACATCGTGGAGGTGCTACCTGGCCTGGCAAAAGTCCGGGAGCTTGAGTAAGCAATCTTCCCACTGCCCTGTCTGACTCACCCTGCTCCCTTGGAGAATAAAAGAAGCCTGGGGGAGCCTCCCCTGGTGGCGCAGCGGTTGAGCACTGGGCTGCAAAGCTGCCTGCAGCCTCTGCAGCACGGGTTCGATCCCCAGCCACTGGCGAGGGTCCCACATGGCACGTAGATCTCTTCTGCTGTGCCTGCTCCTCCTCTCAGCAGTGTATTTCGTCAGTCTGCCTGTTCTGTTCCCCACTCTGGCTCTGGTGAATCCTCTCACCCTCCCGCGCTTCTGACTGTACCCAGTGCTTGAATAAATAAATCTTTAAAGAAAAAAAAAAAGAAGCCTGGAGTCCACGGGGTGGGGCATTCCCTCCTGACATCTCCTCCACACCACACAGCTTGAGCCGCAACTACATTTCCACGTCGACACTACTCCGCTTGACAAAGCTGGCAGTCACGTGCCCTACTGTCAGGATGCTGAAGGTCAGGTGAGCAGGCATGGGAGGCTGGTCTTCAGAGAGGAAAGAGAAGGAGAAACTGGGGGAAGGAGAAAGGAGGAAGGCCCTAGCCTGCAACACCGATGGTGCATGGCTGAGTCTGTTTTATTCACATCAGTATCTCCAGAACCTAGCTTAGGCCTGGCATCTGGCACTCAACAGATAATGAATTGATTAAAAAGTGGACGGGTGGCTAAATGGAAGGGCTGGTGGATGGATGGATGGATGGATGGATGGATGGATGGATGGATGGATGGATGAATCAAATCTAGGAAGCATAAGCAATTGCAGAAGAACCTTTAGCCACGAGTCGCTCTCCGTGGTGCTGAAGTAGCGTTACCTGTTTGGAACTTGGGGTAGGTTAAGTGCCATACCTCTTAATCCTAAAACATGGAGACACCTCTAAAGAACTTTAAGTCTTCCTTATTTTTATCATCCGCCTTGAAAAAAATTGTTTTCCTCACTTTCAAAAATACTCAGGATCCATCAAGCAATGGGACAGTCAATTTTTTAAATGTTTTGCCAAATCTGTTCTTTTGGTGTCAATTACAAAATCAGACTTCTCTGGTTGGTTGGGCACAAGAGGAGCACAGGCTGGGGGGTAACGTGCTGGTTTCCAGTCCGTGGGTCTCGTGACTCCATGTCTGTTTCTGCAGGCAGGAGGATGTCATCTTCACTCTCTCTCCAGTGCCAGCAGCAGATCTGCAAGGGTAAGAAGCTGGGAGTGGGTGGGTATCACCTCATCTTGAGAAGTGCTCTGGGCTCAGTAGTTGTAGGGTGGAGGTGGCCAAGAGAGCCTAGGAAGAGCTGGAACATGGGGGTTCTTTTTGCTATTGCTGACCTAAGGAATGAATTACTTCTCAGAGTTGTCAAAGAATTTGCTTCCTCTAGTCTATCTGGACCACATCTGGCCCCTGTGGGGAGGTAACATCTCCAGAAATCTCAGAGTTAGTCAGAACCTTAGGGAGTTTGCAATGATACTTTTGATTGATATTATTATATGGAGGAAGCCCTTGGAAAATTCTTCCATCTTATGAAAAGGGAAGGGAGTTAAGGTGCCTACATATGTTACCTAGAATTGTTAAGAGAATTAAGTGAGCTAATACACTAAAAATGCTTAGAACACTGCTGGTGTCCAGTTATCACTCAAATGTTTGCTGTTCTAACTCAGCATGGATTCCATCTTGGCCAGTGCTGGCTGAGTGAAGAAAGGGAAGCTGACTTTCTATGAAGGTACAGCCTAATGTGCTTTCCCCCACCCCTTCATAGCTGAGACTTAGACACAGATGGTGTTGCAAGTCTTTTTCCTTCTCTCAGCCTCAATTTCCTCACCCATACAATGATCCAGTAGGACCATGTCTTCTTTCCCTCTGTCTGGAATTGTCATGGTGAATACAGTAGCCACTAACCACATGTGACTATTTAAATTTAGATCAATTAAAATTTAGTAAAATGAACACTTCAGTTCATCAGTCACGTTAGCCACATTTCAGATGCTAGATGGTCCCGGTGGCCAGTGGCTTCCTTAGTGGATGGCACAGATAGAAGACATAACCATCATCCCAGAATGTTCTGTTGAACAGTGCAGACCCGTGGCTCTGGAGCCTGTGGCTCATAATGTTCCAACATGCCTGCAACCACCAGCTCTCCCCTGGCCCAGTAGGAGAACACCTGTAGGTGCTGTTGCTTCCCATAGCCTAGGCCCACATACAGTCCATGCTCCCTGCATTCTGAACCAGAGGTGACACATCTGCAAACGGAGACCATTGTGTCTTAAAGAATAGAGCTTCTTTTCATGAGGCTTCAATTGTGTGCCTGTGCAGGCACTTAACCTTACATCATCTCATTCAACCCTTCAGTCATGCCAAGTGTTACACATCGCCATCCCATTCTAGAAAAGCAAAAATTGAGGCTCAGATGGGCAAAGTGACTTGCCCAAGGCCACACAGTTACAAATGGAAAAGCCAGAAGTTGAATAAAGGTTCTACTTGAACTCAAATCTTTTGTTCCTGCATAGCTCCTTCAGCTCCTGCAAGCAACTGTCTTTGCTACCCATTAACAAATGAACATGAATGAATATGTGGGTCAAGTGACAGGGTCTTCAGCCCCTAGAAGCCAAGGGATCCAGGTTTGGTTCGTCAAGCCCTGGATTCCTGAGCCCAAACCAGTGTTTGATTTGTTCTTGCCAGAGTCCCAGACCTGCAGGGAAGTGCCAGCCAGAGGAAAGAGACTCAGAACAGAAGCCTGACCCTCAGGTACCTCAGTGGGGGACCCATTGCTGCAAGGGGGGGCGGGGCATGACATGGAGGGAAAGTCCCTTCCCAAGGGAGGGATAGCATGGGCAGGGAAGGTAGAGGAAAGAAGACATGGAAAAGATGTAGGAAGGGACATGAATAAACCATCTTGGCCTGAACAAGGAGCGTCTGTTATAACAAAAGAATCTATTGGGTCCTGCTGTATAGTGGGCACTGTGCTCTTTACTGCCTTGTTTGATTCTCCTGAAAGCCCTGTCACATACACATTGTTATTCCCATTTGACATAGGAGGAGAGTGAGTCTAAATGGTTTAAATGCCTTGTTCAAGATCAGCCAGCTACTAAGGCCAAGGCCAGGATTAAACCCAGGTCTGTCCTTCCTGGCTCCTTCCCACTCCTGGCAGGGGCACTCTGAGCTAGAGGAGGCCTGGTGTAGCTTCCAGCCCTGAGCCCGTCTGCCCCCCACTCTCGCTCCAGTCTCCAGAAGTGTCATCTCACACTCCATGATATGAAAGTGCTGATAGCGCAGCTCCGGGAATGCCCTCACCTGAAGGAAGTGGAGTGAGTATTGTGGGGAAGGCTGGGATGGAGAGGGTGGGAGGCATAGGGAGGGCTCCCCTTGGGGTGGACAGTGCAGGGAAGGGGCATGCTGTCCCGTTAGGAATTGGGGCGGGGGTCACCAGTAGTTAGCACTTCCTTGTACTGGCTTCCGTACATCCTCTCATCTCGTCCTTCTCCATCATGTGGACGCTGTTACTATGCACATTTTACAGAGGGGGGAAGTTGAGCCCCAAAAAGGTAAATTTGCTCAAGATAACACAGCTGGGAAGAGTCCAGGCCAGAGATCAAGCTCAGACAGTCCGACTCCTGGCCTCACCCTAGTAACCCTGGCACTGGGGTCTGCAGAGCAGAAGCTCCACCTTCCAGGTCTAGCTTCCAAACCAGAGGCCTGTCTTTCTCCTAGAATGGAGTGAATTGGCCTCCTCCTTTTGGACCAGAGAAAGGCCCACGATGTCTAGCTCCTGGGCAGAGTGTTTGAGTAGGGCTTGGGAATTGGTGGGGGTGCTGGCGCAGGGGGAGCCCTGCTAGCACCATCCCAGGGAATCCAATGGGCATGAAGGTGAAGTGAGAGATTGTCATAATGTGTTTTGAGGTGAGGGGCTCCCCTCTAGGATGCGGTGGACGGGGTGAGGGCTGCCTTAGTGTCCAAAGCTTGAGCCTTGGCCTGCCCCACTGAGAGAACCAAGACAGGATGAGAAGGTGGATTTTTTACCAAACTCATTTCCACCTACTTCATCTCCACCAAGCCTGCACCCCGCAGTGCTCTTACCTGCTATAAAGGCCCCATCACCCACCTGATTACACAGACCAACCACCTCTCAACTCCCTTCCCTTCCCCCCATAACCAGTCCATCCTCGGTTGTTCTCAGAACCATTTTCTTTTCTCCCTCCTCTTTTCATCCATCTCCCTAGTCTAACCCACTCTCAGCTCTCAGCTCCTGGTGGGGCTCCCTGCCTCCTCACTGCCCACCTCCACCTGGCTGCCTGCCCCATCCTCTCCTTCCCACTGCTCAGGATAAAGCCTAAATCCTAAAATACTGTGTGATCCAGAACCATGGATCACAGGTGCCTCCAGCTCCCTAATATCAACTGACCCTACCCTTGCTCAGCCCAGACAACAGGCTCCCTTTCAGGCCCTCAGATGCGCTGTCACAGGGCCTTTGAATACGCTGTTCTGACGACCAGCACACCCAGCCCCATCGTTCTCCCACCCCTTACCTATTGAACTCCTAGTTTTTCTAGCAAGCAGCTCAAACATCAGCGAAGTCTTCCCTGACCCCTAAAGAGATCAGATGCCCCGATAAGCATAAAATGCAATTATATAGGTTGCCCTACACAGAGAAAGTTGAGGGTGGGGCATTGGAGTCAAGCTGCCTGGGTTCAAATCCCGGACCCACCTCTGAGCAAGTGCCCACTAACCCCTCTGTACTCACAGTATGATGAGAATATTAATTGTGCCTGTTTCATTGGGGGGCTGAGGGAGGGATCCAATAGCCACTGACGATAGAAGCGCCTACGCCAGTGCCAGGCATGTGTACTGTCTTTTAAGGTTCCTTATTTGCAAGGGTCATTTATTAGGGATGCTTTGACTAAAGTCATTGCAGGGCAGTGTGAGTGCTGAGGGTTGAGCACAGGCTCCTCTGTCTCAGCCTCTCAGAGAACAAGCTGGAAGATAAAGGCTGTCAACTGATGGCAGAGGCTGTGGCCCAGCTACGCGTCACCAGGAAGCTGAAGCTGGAGTGAGTTGCCCATCAGCTTTGGAGAACCCCTGCCCCCTGCCCCCGGTCCCCAGGCCCATGGCCACAGTCACAGCCACAGTGCTGCTCCCCCAGCCACCTCTACTTTCTCCAGCTCCAGAGAAGGGGAGGGGCCTGCCAAGCCTGACCTTTGCCGCTGGCACAAGCCACTGTCTAAAGCCGCCTGTGCATGTAGAACACACTCCTTGTGTACCAGGGGCTTATGTTCCAATTTGTCCTCGCAACAGCCCTGAGATGGGGTGGGGTGTTGCATCAGAACAACGTTGGGGTGTTGGGTGGATCCATTATGGGGTGCTGGGTTGGATTATAGGAGATAGTGGTATATTAGTTGGGTGGGGTGTTGGGGTAAAGGAGTTGCCAGGGCGGTGGTATGAAAAGAAAGGCTGTGTGGGGGACTGTGGGGCTGAGTGGGGTGGGATGTGCTGGTGACTTTGAACCAAGTGTGGGTTGGGTTATAGGTTTGGGGCTTTGGCTTTGGCTTTACATGCTGGCTTGGTCACTCAGTAGTTTTGTGACCCTGGGAAAGTAATTTGATGTCCCTGGGCCTCAGTTTCCCCGTGTGTAAGATCAAATTAAAATGGCCATTGTTTTACATATCAAGAAGCTGAGGCTCAGAGAGGCAAACACGGTGGGTCGGGTCTTAACACTCCAGCTGGAGAACCCTGATCTCTTGAGTGAGTCATTCGCCCCTCGGCTCCTCCACAGGAGCCAGAGTCTTTGAGACCCTCTGGTTAAGGACCCAGGACATCCCATGAGTGCCAGGAGGAGGGGGCTGGAGCTGACTGGGGCTGGGGCTTCATCCCCACACTGATGCCTCTCTCCCTCCTCTTCTCCACAGCCTCAGTGACAGTGGGCTCTCTGTGGCCGGGGTGCCCGGTGTGCTGAGTGCAGTGAGCACGTGCCGGGCCCTGGAGGAACTGCACATCAGGTGGGCGCTTCTAGCCACCCCCCTCATTCTCTCCTGTGTCCTTGGAGTAGTCTCCAACCCAGGCCTTTGAGACCCAGGTGCTGCGGCTGGTGTCCCAAGACCTCGTTTCTAGCTGCTGCACCTGTTCTAGCTGCAGCAGGTGTGGCCACTCCCCGCTTCTGTGTCCTCCAGAGGACTGCCCCGGGCTGGTAGGTCACACCCCCACCCTCCCTGCCAACCAGGAGTGGCCAATGTCCAAGGCTTAGGTAGCCCTCAGTCCCCTTACCTCCGGTGGGATAGAAGTTTGTGCTATTCACGCTCCAAAGCAACCTGTGGGGTCATGCCGAGGACCTGCCCTGTTCTGCATTCCTGGGTCCCTTGCCAGCTCGACTGAGAGTGACTACTTGGCACCCCCTGCCCAGTGCATTCACAGGCTCAGGCTCTGCTGCAGGAACCCAACAGTTGGGCCAAATTTTATTGCTTTAAGTCTTGGTACTCAGTCCAAGGAAGTGATGGCAGATGCTAATTAATGTCAACATAATTCCCCACTCAGGGGGGCTCTCAATTAGCGTGGTCCCTAATTTAAACACCCTCAAATAAGAGAAAGACCAGATTCATTCCAAGAGGTAGCTTAGTTCACTGTTTATCAGGATTCAACAAAGGATCCCTAATGGCTTTCAAATAACATACCCCTCACTTCTGGAAATTTCTTTTTTTTTCTTAAGATTTTATTTATTTATATAAGAACCGGGGTACAGGCCAGATGTACGGGAGGGTGAGAGGATTCACCAGAGACAGAGTGGGGAGCAGAACAGGCAGACTGACGGAAATACACTGCTGAGGAGAGCAGCAGGCAAGACAGGAGAGGTCTGCCGCATCATTTGGGATTCTCGCCGGCCTGCCGGGATCGAACCGGCGCTGCAGAGGCTGCAGACAGCTTCACAGCACAGCGCTCAACTGCCTGCGCCACCACCAGAGAGGCCCACTTCTAGAAATTTCTGCAAGAGAGGTCAGAGGATGGCACACCAACTGTTGCAGGATGTTTGTCTAAGTATTGGTCCCCAGAGAGAAGAACTCAGTGCAATGACGAGAAGAGGGCGTGAGTGTGGCATGTCAAGTGAACATAAAAAGAAGAATTTGTTTCTTTTATCCCACTTTCATAGACATACCCAAGCTATACTGAAAACCCCAGTCCCCACAATAATATCAACACTTTGTCACCCTCAATTCACCTGTCCCTTGAAAAACTAACTTTTAAAAAGGTCCTGTTATTTTAATCCCATTCTTAAAAGGAAAAAAAAATTTTAAAGATGCATTTAAAAAAAGATGTGACCTGCACTCATTGGTAGGGGGAAGAGATTGCAGGTGATTTTTCTTTATTTTCTTCTTACATTGCTATATTTCCTAAGTTCTGCATAGGGGAAAAATAGGACGTTTGCATTAAGAAACAGAAATATCTTTTATATAACGTGTCCAGAGCATTCAGTTTACAAAGATGAAGTTAGGGAAGCTCCTGATGTAAGTTATTGTCTCGTGTGGGTGCTCAATGCCTGGACAGAGCTGGCAGGGACCTCCTTCGGGGCGAGTGAGCACCCTGGCCAGGGCACTCCCAGCACTCCAGGAACACAATGGACAGAGGGAGGAGGGTGCAGGGCTCAGGCCCAAACCAGAGAAGCAAAAACTGAAATTTTCTTTCAGGGGCTTGGCAGGAAATGATGTGGTGAAATCTCTGTGATAGAAAGACTTCAGAGGTCTGAAAATTTATAGAAAGAGGAAATGGGTGCTGCTAGAGTCAGGGACCTGGCACCCTCCAGGTCCCTCCAGGGCGGGGTAAAACATGACACAGAGGGCAGGGACCCATCAACCTCCTGTCGCCCCCCCCCCTTGTCTTCTCCCCACAGCCTAATGCACAAAATTGCGGTCTTCACGTTTGCCCCAGAGCCGGAGGAGCAGGAGGGGACCCAGAAGAGGTAGGGCCCCAGCATCCATCCCGGCCTCGCCCTCCACAAGGGCCCTGCCCTCCCCAACCTCACCAGCTAGACAGTGCTGCTCAACTGCCAGGGGCCTTGACATCATTCACGAAGGTGCAGGAAGCCAGCGGGCTTGGCAAGAGATGCAGTCCTAAAGGGAAGGGTCAAGGGCCATACTGCCTCCACATTGCCCAAGTGGTGTCTGAATAGAGCCTTGCAATGCAGGATGTGGATGACTCCCTGAGGTGGGGAGCCACAGGAGACAAGATCCTTCAGTCTAAACCCAAAGAGTCACCTGGCCTGTAGCTGTGAATTTGATCAGCATTTCTGCTTCCTTTGGGCACAAGAAAGACCCTTTAAAGGGTGTTTGCCTCCTCCAGGGTGCCTTCCTGGATTGTCCCAGTCCAGCACATGCGCATAGACTCAGCTCTTTGTTCCTCAGCGTCCACCTCCAATCTCTTCTGTAGCATCTGAACTATGGAGAACTAGATTGGCACAGAGACTGATACAGGGACTGATGATGATGATGAGATTAATGACATGAACAGTCAAGTTTAATTGAGCACTTACTATGCACCAAGCACCCAACTAAGGGAATTCACATACATTCTCCCAGTGAGAAGTTAAGAGATTGGTTCCAGGCATCCAACTGGGAAACACAGACGCCCATTGGAACCCAGGTCTGATTGTCTCCAGGCCTAGTGTAGAGAGGGATGCTGGGAAGTGAGGCCAAGAGAGAACTTTCAAACGGTGGGCGTGTGTGTGTCCCTCCAGAGCTACAAGTGCTGACAGCTTCATGCCCCGCGTGCCCTCTGAGCTGCCCCTGCTGCCCCTGCGCGCCCAAAGGATCAGGTACTGCGATAACCTACAAGTCCCAGATGTGGGCCCAGCCTCCTCCCTTCTCTTTCAAAGCCCGGCCCAGCCCCCCAACCCCATGTGCTTCCCAGAGGACATAGCCTGGCTTCCGGTCTCTCACCTCCCCTGCCCAGCCCACCCCAGATGGGGCTAACCCTTCTGTCACCTTCACTGCTGGGAACCTCAGTCCCCTTGGCTTCCAGACCTTCAGGGGCTAAAGGGTTGTATGAGCACTGAATGGAGAAGATGGGGCGCACTCGCCTGGGTCCTAGGCCCTGGGTCCTAGGCCAAGGCTTCAGCAAGCCCCTGGCAGTGTTCCCGTTAGTACTCCTCTGGCCTTCCGTGCATTCATCTCTCCCTGCCTGTCTCTGTCATTTCTGGGCTCTCTCATAGCTTCTGTCTCTCTCTCTGCTGCCCTTTTTCTCATTGTCTGACCTCCTCTGGCATGGTCTGTCTCCCCTCCTCGCCTCTCCCTCCCGCCCTGTTCCTTCCCTCCCCACATTGCTCTCCTCTGCGCCTCTGACTCTGGCTCCTCTGCTTGTGTGTGACATCTTATGTGATGTGTGCTGGGGTCCCCTTTTGTCTGTCTCAGTGCCAGAAGCATCCAGACCCCCTCCTGCGAGCCTTGTTCTCTGCCAGTGGGGGGTGAGGGGAGTGCAGCCTCTGTCCCTGGGGCAGGAGCTGCAGGGCCTGTTTCTTCGCTGCAGGCTGACTCACTGTGGTTTGCAAGCCACACACCTAGTGCAGCTCTGCAAAGCGCTGCAAGGAAGCTGCCGCCTGGGGGAACTCAGTGACCTAGAGTGAGTAGTTGCCGTGGAAGGTGGGAGGGGGACCCCGCAGTTAGTGGGTGTTAGTATGCTGGGTTTTCCAGTTTGCTTTGCTTTTCCTTTTATTAAAAGTTTTTGCTCACCAGTTCTTTCCCTGATAAATCAGGAAACCTCCTAGAAAGGCTGGTAAAAGTTGTGACTCTTCCCTTAAAATACAGGCCCCCACCTTTGACACCACAGGGGTCACACACCTCGGGATGAGAACCCCAGGGGTACCCCAGTTGCCTGGAGGAAACCTGCTGCCATCTGCCTGGCAGCCCATGGCCGGGCCCCATTTCAGGAGAAGCTGAGTGAAGGGGGATGAGACAAAGCTCCAGCCCACCTCTACCACTAACCCATCTCCCCTCACCCCCCCACCCCAGCTTATCAGGCAACCACCTGGGGGACGAAGGTGCGGCCCAGGTGGCCCAACTGCTCCCAAGACTGGGCACTCTGCGGTCCCTGAAGTGAGTAGCCACCTGGGCAATGCCTCTGGGACTGTCCTCTTCAGGATGAGTGTGTGTGTGTTTGTGTGTGTGTGTGTGTGTGTGTGTGTAGGGGGCATTCTGTTCCATGTCACTCCTTATTGGGGTTACTATTAAGATTCAGCCTGCAAGTGCATGGTGTTCCCTGATCCCTGTCCCATCTGTGACTCACAGTGAGTGTGTAAAGGTGTTAAACTGTGACTCATCAGACTAACGACTGGCTGCTCTGCCTCAGTGCTCCAACTTCTGCCTTAGTTTCACTTCTCGAGCCTGTCTCCACGGCCTGCATGGGCTACCCAGGAGGCCCAGGTCACCTGGGGCAGGTGGGTGTGGTAGGAAGTTCTTCGAGATGAACAACCATTCCAGCCCTGTGGTACAGGGAGGGACTGTTGGATGGGGGTGCCAGCCAAGCAGGGAGCCCAAGGCAGCGCTCAGGAGGGCCCCCAAGCATCTGGCAAAGTGAGATGTCCAATGGGGTCAGAGTCCTGGAAGGACTGGGGCCCTGAAAGGACACCCGAGGCCCCCAGACTTTGCCTGCAGTAGACCAGAGTGCCTGGATCCTAAAAGGCCCCCTGAAGTTCTTGGCTCCCCTGCGCCCCCTCTCCTCTTGAGATCTTCTGGGCCTAAGTAAGAGGACCCCTAGTAAGAGTGACAGGCCCTAAGTTCCCTGCGTGACCTTGGGCAAGTGATATCACCTCTCTGAGCCCCTGGTGCCCGGGTAGTTAGCACATCAACTGCAGAGGGCGCTGCAGGTCTGGGGCACACACTTAGAATGATGCCATGACCCCTTCCTGCCCAGGGATGCGCTTTCAGGATGCTGGGAAGGGGTTTCCCCATCGGGTTCAGAGTCTGCCCCAGGGTAGCAAGAAAGGCCTCACCATTGCAGGCGAATCAGCTACCCTTGAACAACTCAGGGGGTTAAGTCATGGCCACTCTGAGTAGAAAATCTGCATGTAACTTAAAGTAGGCTCCCAAACTCGGGCTATTCATTGATGGATTCCACCTCCTGACATCTGCTGTGGGTTGAATCTATGAAAGCAGAACCCATAGATAGAAAAAAATCCACATCCACATAGACAGGGACCTGTGTAGTTCAAGTGTCAATGGTATGTGCAGACTGGGGCATTCAGGCAAGTCCCCATGTGACCTTGGCCACACTGGGAATGCGTAGGACCCAGCGCAGCCAGAACTCACTCCCTGACCAGTGTCTCTGTGCCTGGGGGTGCAACATTGCCCAGTGGGGAAAAAAAAACCACCAATGCAGATTGAGAGACCACAAAAGAAAGGGAAAAAGCTTTGTACTTTCCTTTTCAACAAAAGGCTCCACATTTTTATTTTGCATTGGACATCGCGCCTCCTTTGTCAGGCTGGGAAACCGAGTCACAGCTCTGCCCCCACCCCTGACTTATCACAGACAGAAGGAACCAGTGGGTTCTAGTCTCAACTCTGTTGTCAACATGTATTATAACCTTGGGCAAGACCTTGTCTCTTTCTAGTCCTCAGTTTCTCCTCTGTACACTGGGGAGCTGGAAGAGATGCGTCCTGACAATCAGGGGTCCAGACCTTCATCTCGACTCAGGCACAGCCTCCCCCTGCCCTTGCTCTGACCACAAAGAGGGTGACTGGCTCCTGAGTGGCCTCCGGCCGTGTCTCCCCTGTGTTTCCCCAGTCTCAGTGAGAACAGCATGTCCCTGGATGCCGTGTGCAGTCTGACCCAGTGCTTCTCTGCTCTGCCGTGGGTGCTCCTCTTGGACATCAGGTGAGTGTGCCTCTGGGGCCCACCCACCCCTTGTCCCACTGGTGATTCACTCCCACACAGGCCCCCATCTGTTGCATTCATGACTAGCATCCTTGGGACCCTGCATGGCGCCATGTCCAGGGAGCATGCAATGGGTATCTGCTGAATGAATGAATGAACGAATGAATGAACAAACAAAGGGACACATATAACTCCAGGAACACTCAAATTTCTCTAAATTCACTATGGGACACGATCAGTAAACAACCCCTTACTCTCTGGATTGACCTTGGAGACTTGAAGCAAACTGGGGACTCCCTGGTGACCATAAGGGCCCAAGACTGGCCCTAATGGTGGGGTCTCTGGAGCTGATGGGGACATACGGAGGGGAAGGTGTCCAGCCAGGCACCCGGGGCCAAACAATGAAGATGCTCATGGTTTCAGGTGGGGTTTCCCCATTCCTCCCCTTCCCTTCCCAGGGGATCCCCACGAGTGGGCAGGGCTATAGCAGATGCACCAGGTTCAGATCCAGGAGGGCACACCTGTGCAGCTCAAGCAGGTCACCAGCCTCCTCACCTCCGTTTCCCACACTGTAAAATGATTCTAACAGTTTCACGGCCAGGTTTAAAGGTGACCACGTTGGTGTTGTGCTTCACGTAGTTCTCCCTGCGTACATTTACCGTTGGACCTGCTGGGAGAGCCGGTGCCTCCAGGCCCTCCCCGACCCCACCAGTGGGCTGTCGCCCCGTGCCTAGCTGTGGGCCCTCTGCCCTTTCTCACACTGCTGCCTCCTCTCTGCCTGCAGCTTCAAGAGCCAACATGTCGTCCTGAGAGGTGACAGAAGTGACAGGTAAGCAGGGAGATCTCTGGGAGTGGGCTGGGCTGCCCTGTCCTTCCTGTCCCCAGTCCGCTGGGCCCTGACTCACTAGAATTAAGCTGTCATGACCGCAGCTGCCATCAGCTGCCACGGATGGATCTGGGAAGGAGGCGGTGCAGGTGGGAGGGGGAGGGGGAGGAAAGGAGGAGGAGGGGGGGGTGACAGGCAGCAGCTGCTGGCAGCTTACTGGTGTGGGAGGGCAGAGGGGAGCGGCTGTGGTTGTCTTTCATCTCCAGCACCTTGGCAAACCTTTGCAGACCCCACCCTTTCCGTCTCTGAGTATCAAGTTTGAGAAACCAGGAACCCTTGGTGCTTTGTTTTTGGGGTTTTTTGTGTTTGTTTGTTTTTGCGGGGTGGGGAGGGGTTGAACCCTTGGTACTTTAAAAAAGTTTCCACATCTTAGCAATAAACGAGAATAGTCTCGCGCCATGTTCCTGGCTGCTCCCCGCTGCCCCCTACTGGAGCCTCCTGGTCTGGCGGGGGGGAGGGCGCACCTGGAGGATGATGGCCTGACCAGCAGAGGAATCGGGGAGCGGTACTGCCCTTCCAGGTGGGCTGCCTGAGGCAAGGCCAGAGGCCGTGCTTCTCAGGTCAAGGTCTCTGTTTTGGGGAACCCTCGGTGTTCTTGAAGCCAAAAGAATCAAGGCCTGAGGTCGGGTAAGAAGTCATAAGAATGTTGGTGGTCAGAGAGAAGAGGGGCTGTGTCCTGGCTCTCCCTGACCTAGTCAGGTGCTGCCTACCTGGACAGGTGTAAGCTGCTGGCTTTTCTTGCTCGGACTTCCCCGCCCTCCGCCTCAGTTTTCCCCTCTGTACAGTGAGAGGCTGGTCTGGAGTCTAGTGACTTGATTGCCTCTGGGATCCCTTCCAGCCTTGACTTCTGAGTCTGGCCTACCAAGGGGGATGCTTTAAACGTCCCTCTCAAAGTGGTTTCTCCACCCCAAGGGATCTGCCTGCTGATGGGTCTTTGCCCAAGTTCCCAGCTGGAGCGCAGTTCTTTTGGGACGATCAACGCTGCATACCCAAGAGCTTCTGGTACTGTCTTACTTGGGTCTTTCTTTGGGGGTAGCCACAGTGGGAGTGAGGGATCAAGGAGTGAGGAGTGCCTGGAGCACAGGGCTAGGGATTGGGAGAGCGTGTGAGAAAAAGGAGAAGAAGGGTGGGCAGGGGCCTACGGGGGCTGGTAATAGGGGCAGCTGCTACCCAGCATTCTCCTTCGAGAAAAGAGCCTACACATTTTTCTCTGAAGACTTCCCAGCTCTGCCACGAATGGCAGTGAGGCCTGGCTGGGTCCTCTCTCCTTTCTGAGCCTTGATTTCCTCATCTAAGAAGAGAGACACCTAGACCAAGACCTGTATGAGGTTATCCAAGGAGGAGAGAGAGGAGTGTCCTCGGCAAGGAGTCCACCTTGTGCAAAGGCACCGGGGCTGACAGCTTGGCTCCTGGAGCTGCCCAGTGTGGCCACAGCATATACAGGAAGAGCAGAGACTGGGGAAAAAGCATTTTGTTTTTAGCCTGTGGGTAATGGAGAGCCACAGAGTGCTTAAGCAGAGAAGAGGCCTGCTTAGATTTGCACTATTAAAGGATAAGACACTTGCAGAGTACACGGGCTCCTAGGGAGGTGAGAGCAGGAGGCTGGAGGGTGCTGAAGTGGTCCAGGCTAGTGCGGGTCCAGACTCAGGCAGGGGCAGAGAGGGGGGCCTTGGAGGCTGGACAGAGCAACTGGGCAGTCAGAAGTTGCTGTTGTTGCTGTTAGGGAGACTTGCCGGGGGAGAGTGTGCCCTGGTGAGTGGGGAAGGGAATCTGAGTCCTGCAGGTTGGGGAGGAGAGCTGTCGGGAGAAGGGGAGAGTTCCTGGGGCTGGACAGGGGTCCTGCACCCTCTCTGATCCCCTGCCCAGCCTGCCACCCTTTTTCAGCCTCCGGGAATGTCAGCTGGAGCCCCTGAGCCTCAGCCACCTCTGTGAGACCCTGGAGAAGTGCCCGGGGCCTCTGGAAGTCAAGTAAGTAAAGCAGACACCATGTAGACTCCTGGGAGGGGGTGTCCTGGCAAGGAGTCAGGTCCTGGTCCACTCCCACCTGACCCCCTGTCCTGTCCCGTGCAAGTTCCCTAACCTGTCAGTAGAAGGTTCTAGCTTCCCAATGGCCCAGCTCAAGCACCTACTCATCCCACTGAGAGAGGCCGCCTGGGCCTGGGGCCTTCCCCTTCCTCATCCACTCAACTCAGGGCACCTGGGAACCCCAGCTTGCCCCCCACCCCCACCTCTGGAGCCCCACACTGGCACCCACCTGGGCCTGCCTCCCTGGCTAGAGCCCATCGCTTCTGAAGGCCCCTCCTCAGGGCATCCCCTCCAGGAACCAGCTTACCCCCCGGGACACCTGGGGCTGGGACCAGAGACTGCCCTTGGAATCAGGAGTCCAGCTCAGCCCCCGACAGTCTGGGTACCCTGAGGGAGGTGGCTTTAGGCCTCAGCTTTGTCTTCTGCAAAGTGGACAGTCAACCTTCCTCTGCCCTTGTGGCTACTGCATTACAATAATTACTTTGAAATGCAGATATCCACACCACCCCTCCCCTCCCCTGACCGGTGCTGTCAGACGTTACCCACTCACAGTGGAGACGAACATTGTACAGTTTCACTTTGCATCACAGCCCGTGTGTTTTTCCATTCTGCCACAGTCTTGTTTTTTGGCTTTCGGGCTCCTCTCTCAGATGCCCTCAGGCCCCTCTGACAAGCTTATCTGAGTCGATCACCTGGGTTTTGACGTTACAGGTGCAGGGACTCACCAGGTGAACTTCTGCAGGGAGCTTGTCTCCTGTGGGTGCCCGTGTGTTACCAGGATATCAGGACACGTGGAGCCAATGGGTTTTTAGTAAGCTGTATTTTTAGAATAGTTTAAGACCTGATTTTCAGAAATGCTACAAAGCTAGTCTAGAGAGTTCCTTCGCCCCGTTGCAGCTGATGGTGAATACCTCGCATGATCACGGCCCCTATGTCATGAGCGTGACTGTGCGTGACTGTGAACGACCCTCCAGATTTGGTTCAGGTGTCACCTGCTTTTCCCCTAATGCCTTTGTCCCCCTTTGCCCCCCTGATCTAGAAGCCCATCTGGGGCCCTCTCAGCCTGCTCCTGAGCCTCCTCTGAAGAATGAGTTTCTCATTCTTTATCTTTCATGACCCTGAAAGCTTTGAGAAATACCAGTCAGATACTTTGTCCAATGTCCCTCCTTTTGGGCTTGTCCAATGTCTTCCTCATGGTTAAACTGGGGCTGTGGGTTCGGGGGAGGGCCAGCAGGAGGAGAATGTGCTTCTCATTCCATCTTGGGTTTCACGCTGTGGACTCAGCTCATCGCCCTCCAACTTGACCTTGTTCACTTGACTGAGGCAGTAGTTGTCGGCTCTCCTTGCTGTGAAGTCACTGTTTAATTTTAAAACTACTGTTATTATGAACGTAAGCATATATAAAAGTAGAGAGAATAGAGTAATGGACCCTTACTTTCCCTCTGCTGTCTCGGTGTTATCCCCTCATGGCTCCAAGACACAAACACACACACACACACACACACACACACGTACACACACACACACACACGTTCTGAAGCATTTCCCAGATACTTTATAATTTCACCTGTAGATATTTCAGTGTGCATAGTAAAAGATCAATGCTCTTTATTTTTTAATGTAACCACAAAACCACTCCCAGACCTAACATATAAAAATCATCAATATCCCACCAGGGTTCAATCGCCTCTGACTGTCTCTTATGTGTTTTTTACACAATGATTAGCTATTCGTGCCTTTCGATACTAACCCTCCATGGTCGGGCTGTGCCACAAGTCACTTATACCCCTCCCAACCCCAAGTCTAAACAGACATCCAGGATGCTTCTGGTCATTTTGTGTGTGTGGCAAAAAGCATCCTCCTGTGCTTTAATTATTAGCACATATATACCAGGCACTGGCCATGCCCAGGGACACAAGATCAAGTGGAAGATGGATCCCACCACCACCAACAGCCAGGGAGGTGGACTAGAATCCCAGAGGCCTCAGTGAGGGAAGGACAGCCTGCAGGGGCAAAAGAGCAGAGGCAAGGGGCCTCCCTAGTGGCATGGGGTTAAAGACACAGTGTTTTCAAGCTAACAGCAGCCACTGCAGCACAAGTTTGATCCCCAGCTAGGGAGCTGACCCACATGGCGCAGCAGACCTGTCTCGCCCGCTGCTCCCCTCAGCAGTGGATGTCAGTCGATCCACCCCTTCTGCTCCCCACTCTGTCTCTGGTGAATCCTCTCACCGCCCCCCTAATGCCTCTGGCCTGAACCCCACTTCTTGTATGCATAAATAAATAAATCTTTTTAAAAAACAGCAGAGGCAAGAAGGAAGCGCAAGGGGGAAGCGAGAGAAGGGCAAAGAGGGAGAAGGCAGAGGGAAAATGCAGTCCTAGTGCCTTTGGGGGTCCAAAGGGACTCCAGACTCCCAGGGGAGACTGCAAGTAAGTCCCAGGGCATTTAGAGCCTGGCGTCCTGGTCCTGCAACCAGAGCAGAGACCAAAGGGTGATAGCAGCAGTTTCTCCTGAGTAGACTGGCTTCTGATGAAATGATTATCTGGGAAAGTGATCCATTGGTTGGTCTGCTTGACGGGCCATCAGAGATGCAAGCTACCCTCCTCCCTCCTTGACTGACCTGTGGCTGGAATTTCCACGAGTGTGCTCACTGCTCTGGGTTAAGATGATGTTCTCTCTGTCACAAGTGTGTTCTGCAGAGCACCCGTCTTCCCGACCTTCAAAATAATATTCCCACTAGTCCGCTTCTTTTGAGAAAAAATATCTACTCCAGCCTTTGGAAATTCACACCGCACAGTAAATGCTCCGAGAAGTCCTGCAGCAAAGAAAACTGTTTAATTTGGCTTATTGCAACATTTTCCATATGTATATGACCTTCCTTTCCTCTAGCGCCAGAGATAACTCAAGGACCCCAAGTTCAGAGGGAATGGTGTCAGCAAGCCTGGCTTAGGACCCACCTCCAGAGGGCTCTGACTGTGAGGCCACACTCCTAGCTTTCCCCAAGGCGTCCCCACCTTATTCAGATCCCTTATCTCACAGATTATCCTGCGAGGACCTGAGTGAGCAGAGCCTGGAGACCCTGCTGCATCACATGCCCCGGCTCCCCCAGCTAAGCCTGCTGCAGTAAGACTGGCTTCCCACTTCCCTTGCCTGCAAAGCCACCCCTTCCCTGCCCTCTCTCCTCCTCTTGGCACAACTGGGAGCTCAAGTCTGCTTCCAGCTCTTTCTAAAACTTTGTCAACCTTGGGGTGAGTGAGTTGAGCCCTCGGGCCTCAGTTTCCTCACCTGACATGGGATGAACATTCCCAACCCCGCCTCCAGACTTGGCACTCAGACAAGATGGTGGCCTTGCCCCCACCCATGGAATAGTCATCTGCTCCTGCCAGGGCCTTTACAGATGTGTGTTGTGTAGATGTCACACACGAGTGTTTAAAGGTCACCATCTAACTCTGTAAAAGGAGAATTTAACCACATCCCCCAAAGTATTTAAAACTCTCTTTTCTAATTTCAGCTCTGACTGGTTAGAATTTTAAAAGGATTTACTTTAAATACTCTTCTCGCGGGGGGAGGGGGGAGGCAGCTGCAGCTGAGGTGGAAAAATACAACAAGAAATTAAATCATCCCATTAATAACAGCAACGTAAGTACCAATGCTGAAGATCTAATTCTAATGCTGAAGATGCCTGGGGCGCCTCTCATCACATCCAGGATCTCACTTGCCCCTGAGCCCTATGGGGAGGGAGGAAGTATATGACATTCCAGAGAGCAGGCAAGTGTGGCAGGGCTCCTGTGAACCCTTGGGTCCCACTACCTGCCAGCGGGCCACGCTGCCAGGAGAGCACAGGAAGGAAGGGCTGCTTTGGACATAAAAGTTGGCAGGTTACAATGAACAGGTTGAAAACCTCAGACCAGAGAGGGACTTCTCTATGCCCACGTCACACAGCATCAGTCTCCAACTCCCCCTCTGTCTTTGGAATGAGGTGTCCAGTTTGAGCCTCTCCGGAACTTAAGCTTTATATTCCTCAATCCCTACTGCTGAGGAGTTGATTCAGATGATGACTGGGAATGCCTCTGAGGAGGATACTGAGTTACAATCTGAAGGAGAAGGGGGAACAAGTCTTGTGAAGAGCAGGGAACAGCATTCCAAGCAGAGGGAACAGCATATGTGAGCCCCCGAGATGTGATTGTGCTTTGTAGGCTCATGGACAGCCAGAAGACCAACACAGCCAGAACTCAGTGGCTATCAGGGAGAGTCGCAGGAAGGGCTGTTCAGAGGTGGACCAGACTGGATCACAGGAGGCCTCGTAACATTGGGAGGAGATTGGAGTTTCATTCAAGGGCATTTGAAAGGCCTGTTATCAAGAGCTCAGTCTGGCCGGATAGAAAAGGCATAGGGCAAGAGGGGAAATGAGAGCAGGGAGGAGGCAGCCAGGGTGAGAGATGATGGGGACAGGAGCTGGTGGTGGAGGCAAGAGAGTGGATTCAGGGTGGGTCTTGGGAGTGGAGCAGACAAGAAGGTAATGGATGGTTTGGAGGGGGTGTCAAGGGAAACGAAGGAGCAAAGGATGCTGCTGAAGCACCTCACTTTCTCTAAGGCAGTGTTCACAATCTGGAGTGGTTCAGCCCCCGGGGAACATTTGGTAATGGGGGGTTGGGCTTGGAATGGGATAGTACTGCTAGCAGCATTTAGTGAGCAGTGGTCTGATGCTGCTCGACCTCCTGTCTGCCAGCCCCCCACAAAAGAATGACCCAGCCCCAGATCTCAGTGGTGCTGAGGATGGTTTCACTTATAGGAGGAATGCAGAGGAGACAAATAAGGGGTCGGGGCGGCAGGGGAATAAAAGTAATTATAATAAATTAAAAATCAAAATCAACAGGCAACTATAAATTAGAGACATTCTGGGGAGGGGGGTGGTGAAGGGGAGGGAGAGGGATCAAAACGGACAGGAAGAGCCCAAGGGACTGTGGTGATGGTGCACAGGTGAATTGGTGGTAGGAAGTTCACGGGACTACGACCTGAGAGGAGAAAGCATACATTGCACAAAAATGAAGAATGATGTAAAATATATATATAATAAAAAAAGAATAAAACTACATAAAATGAACCAAAAAAAAGAAAAGAAAAGAAAAACTGCTCTGTGACCCTGTCAGCAAGGACCTGCCTGTCAAGACTGTGCTTGAGCCAGAAACAGTAATAATAGCAGCGAGTGTGATGTGATGACAGCCGCCACTCCCTGGGAGGAAGGTTGGCCACGCTGAGTCCCATTTTCTAGGCAGGAAAACCAAGGCCCATAGCCAGGAAGTGGAACTGGGACCCGAACCCCAGCCTACTTGACTTTGTCCCTCTTGAGTCTCTGCCTTCCGCCTCACTGCCTTGCTGGCCCCAGGCCTCCTCACCCACCTGCCCCCGCCCGCCAGCCCGCCCCTGTCCTTGCCTGCTGGTCTTGTTGGGCCCTGACCTGCCTCTCCCCTTCCCTTCTCAGGCTGAGCCCCACAGGCCTGTCCCCGAAGAGCCCCCTCCTGCTGGCCAACCTCTTTAGCCACTGCCCGCGACTGCGGAAGGTGGATCTCAGGTGAGCGTCACCTGGGGACAGCCGGGCTAGTCTTGGGGGCTCCTGCCTCAAGTCTTGTGGGTTTGAGGGGGGGTGGGCAGGATGAAGGCAGTGAGCCCCAGTCTGAGACTCGGGTTCTGGAAGAGGGGTGTGTGCTCCCTAGGGGCAGCCTGAGGCTGTGACCAAGGGTGCTGACCTGCATGCTGTCTCTCCAGATCCCTGAAGCACATGACCCTGCACTTCAGGTCCAGCGAGGAGCAGGAAGGCGGGTGCTATGGGTAAGTCCCTCGCATCTGTGCCCTGTCAGCCAGGGGGCGTTGGGGTGTGCAGACCTGCCTCTGGGGAAGCTGGGGCAGAGAGCAGACTGCCTGGGGGCTCCTGCCTAGAAACTTGTTTCCTCCAACATGAAGCAGAGGTCCAGAAGGAGTCGGGCTTCCTCAGGCCAAACAAGGGCACTCAGGGGTCCAAGGTCAAGGACTTCACCAGCCTTTAAAGCCCAGCTCCACAAGGGCCTGGCCCCCTGAGCAGGCTCCTAACCACTGAGCCCTCAGCTTCTGCAACTGGAGAAGGGGTCCTGGACCAGTGCTCTGGGATCCGCAGGGGAGAGGGAGGAGGCATTGCTCCAGAGGCAGGATAATGGGACGGAGGGCAACCTCCAAATGCAGAGATGACCATTTTGATGCCACTGACTGTCTGAGATGCCTGGACCAGATCCTCTCCTCCCTTCACCTCCCCCGTGCTGGCTGTGTTGGTTGGCAAGTGCTGGTTGCACAGGGACATACGCATCCAAGAGCTGTATGCATCCGAGCTCCTGTAAGCCACAGTAAGGGTGCCCCTGGGACTCGCACCCCGGCCATCCCCTGGCGCTCCTGGCCCAGGCCCACAGACTTTTCCTGCAAAGGGCTAGAATACAAGTGTCTTAGGCTTTGCAGGCCTGGACTCTGGCAGTATGTGCCTCCACTACTGCAGCTTGAAAGCAGCAAAATCAGTGTGTGTCTACGCCAGTGAAACTATTTATGGACACTGAAGCCTAACTTCATTTATTGCTTATGTGTCATGAAATATTATTATGATTTTGATTTTTTCTCAGCTTGCAAATGGAAGAAAACATTCTTGAGAACAGGCCATACCACAGCAGGTGGCTATGGGCTGTAGTTTGCCAACTCGGTCCTAACCGGACACTCGCTCAGAATGCCTGGATAGTTTCTGAATCAGCCAAGAGGCGTGATTTTTGGAGACTGGGCAGTTAGGAGAGTTGTTCAATTTCACTAACTCCCTGGTGAGATCAGCACTGCCTTTTCAGCTCCCAGTCCTGTTGAAGCCCAGGGGAATTCTCAGGGGGCTCTCATGTGTCTCTAACATCCCTGGAACACTCGCTAAGCTCCTCTTTGAGCAGAGAGCACCCTTAGCAGGTGTGAAGAGCTGGCTCCATTTTAATGATGATATTTTGCTCTCAATTTGTGTGTTATGTTTAAGATCTGTGCGTGGTATGCAAGGTTTTCCATTCCAAACCATGAGTGATTGATACGGGTTTAATGAGTGATTTAAAAACAGGAAGCAAATAATCATATAAACTGTGAAGGAGGGCAACAGTGGTCATTGATAATAATTTTAGGTACTTTCTGATTCATTTTTTAATCACTGGCTGGCAACCTGACTGTGCAGTTTGCCAATTCAGTCCTAACCAGACACTAGCTCAGGATGCCTGGATAGTTTCTGAATCAGCCAAAAGGGCGTGATTTTTGGAGGTCAGGCAGATAAGAGAGTTGTTCAATTTCACTGACTCCCTTGGTGAGAGTTGGCTTTAAAAGTAGGCCTTTCAAATGCAGCCTTACTGTTACTTTATTTATTTATTTTTAAGATTTATTTTTATTTATTTATGCATATAAGAACTGGGGTACAGGCCAGAGGTTCAGGGGGTGAGAGAATTCACCAGAGACAGAGTGGGGAGCAGAACAGGCAGATCTACTGAAATACACTGCTGAGGGAGCAGTAGGTGAGACAGGAGAGGTCTGCTGCACCATGTGTGTAGCTCCCTCCCCAGGGATCATGCTGTAGTGGCTGGCGGTAGCTTGATAGTGCTGAGACTTGACCCCTTGTACCACCAGGGAGGCGCAATTACTTTTAATTCTTTTATTACTTTTAATTCTAGTGGCAATGGCTCTCCCCAAGGGCAGCCATCACTCTTGTGTTCCCCTAGTCCACTCCCATAGCTGTAGTTCCCCAACTTGAATCCAAGTTACCTGGAGAGCCTTGCCTTGAGAGTTTCTGACCTGGTGGGTCTGGGCTGGGTCACCAGTGATGACCCCAAGTCATGCTGGTGTGACTGGCTGGGGACCACAATTTGCAAACCACCTCCCCAGAGGAAGAAGGTGGGTACCAGGTAGGATCCACTTAGGAGGTGGGAGTGGTGAATGCCAGATAGTTCCACTGAACCTAAGCTTGTATGAGGCCCCATGGGTGCTCAGAGGCCCCACCAGGGACTAGCCAAGGTTCAGTGGGTCTGAGTGCCTGAGCACCCCTTCCCTGGCTGTTCCCCCTCATGCAGCAGGTTCACAGACTGCAGCCTCAGCCCGGAGCATATGGAGTCGCTGTGCTGGCTGCTGAGCAAGTGTGAGGACCTCAGCCAGCTGGAGTAAGTTGTGGGGAAATTGGGCAGAGAAGAAGGAGGAGGAGGGAGAGGAAAGTAACAGTGCATACCTGGGTGGCACTGGAGGAGAGAGAGAGAGAGAGAGAGAGAGAGAGAGAGAGAGAGAGAGAGAGAGAGAGAGAGAGAGAGAGAGAGAGAGAGAGTGTGTGTGTGTGTGTGTATCTCTCTCTCCCTGTGCACTCAACACTTCTTGGGACCAAAGAACAGGGAATGCCTAAGACTCTGCGCTACATCTTTAAGGATTCCCTGCACCCACTGTATCATCCCACCTCCACCTCCACTCCCACCATGGTAGTGCTGTTTCAGGGGAGCCCTTCACAAAAAGCCACAGGGACCCCTGGGCCTTGTGTTGATCACGGCATTAGAACCCTGCTGGCTGATGGGACCCAAAATGAAGGCTTCATTGGTGTTCCTGGCAGGTGGTTAAAGTACAGATGGCTCAGACCTGGTAGGCTCCCCAAGCCAGCTGGGGTGGGGACTTGGGGGCTCCTGTGTTGTCAAGAGGTTGTATCATGGATCTCCAAATCACACAGCCCCTGCAAAAGTAGGAAAATAATAATAATCGCCCCTATGGAACATGCGCTCCACTATGCTATGTGCTTTGCATATTCTTTTTATCTTTCCAACAACCCTAAATACTCTTCTCCCCATTTTATAGATGAAAGAGGAGAGGTATGAGAGTTAAGAACTTGCCCAAGGTCAGGGTCACACAGGGTATATAATGCAGAATCTTGACTCACGAGGACGTGGAGAATCTAGCGATGAACTATAAAGAGAGCTGTCTGCCGAGCAGACACACTTTAAATTCCTGCTGTGATGAGGCCAGGAAGAGAAGTGCGGCTGATGAAAATTATCCTGAAATTTTCAAGACAGATGAATGAGCAATATGTCTTTGATTCTTTAATTTTTTCATTGTAGAGGGAAATTTTTTCTTACTTTAAAGTTTATTAAGTGGCTTTATAAGACGAGCTCACTTTTTAAAAGTTTTGCAGGAAAAGATGAAATAAACAAGTCTCAAAAGTGTCCTCATCAGGGATAAAATGAGTTCAAAGATGCAGGACAAAAACCAGAAATTCTAGTTCAGGCTGATTATATTGTTTCTGAAACTGCAGCTAGAACCATAGACCACTACAACAGAGGGATACAAGAGAATATTCAGGTGCAATTTCTGATACTGAGCCCCCAAATTAAAAGGAGTCTGTTGGGGAAATGCATCCTCCAAACCTCTTTCTTTTTTTAAGATTTATTTTGTTTATACAAGAACCAGGGTACAGCCCAGATGCGTGGGAGGGTGAGAGGATTCACCGGAGACAGAGCAGGGAACAGAACAGGCAGAAGGACCAAAATACACTGCTGAGGGGAGCTGCGGGCGAGACAAGAGGTCTGCTGTGCCCTGTGGGTTGCTCCACGGCCAGCGGGGATGGAACCGGCACTGTAGAAGCTGTGGACAGCTTCACAGCGCCACCAGAGAGCTTCACAGCGCCACCAGGGAGCTTCACAGCTCAACCGCCTGTGCCACCAGGGAGGCCCTGAAACCTCTTTCTTTTTCCTGAAATTACTCTTTTTTAAGAAAGATTTATTTATTTATGCATGTAAGAACTAGGGTGTAGGCCAGAGGTGCGGGAGGTGAGAGGATTCATCAGAGACAGAGTGGGGAACAGAACAGGAGGGTTGACTGAAATATACTGCTGAGGGGAGCAGCAGGCGAGATAGGAGGGGTCTGCTGTGCCGTGTGGGTAGCTCCCTGGCCGGGGATTAAACCCATGCTGCAGTGGTTGTGGATAACTTGATAGCACTGAGACTTGACCCCTTGCACCACCAGGGAGACCCTGCCTGAATTTACTCTTGTTCAAAAGTTGTGGCTCTTGACTGATGCAGACCCATGGTGGACAGTGAGGGAAGATAACTGATTTTTCTCTAACCCCTGGAAGCCCGCAGACAGCACACATGCCCAGGAGTGGGCATCAGATATTGAAGGGGAAGATGAGGACTGGATAGCTGTGGTGCTAGTGACGGGGCCATGGTGGGCACAAGGGAGCCATGACTGGTGGTGGGGATAAATCTAATAGTGATGGGCATGGTGGAGATGGTGGTAGTGGTGGTGATGGTGGTACTATTGGGACAGTAGCAGTTTGGAGTGGCCCAGTGATTGCGAAAGTGCTAGAGAGTCACAGTGGTGGTGACTGAACAGAAGGCGTCCATGAAGACTACATCTGATCCCACCAACCCCCTCTGACCTCTTACAGCCTCTCAGCAAACCTGCTGGGTGATGGCGGGCTCAGGAGCCTCCTGAAATGTCTGCCCCAGCTGCCTGTCTCCAGCTCGCTTGAGTAAGTAACCAGCAGTTTGAGGTCAAGAAGGGTGACTCCCTGGACTAAGCGGGCTTCTTTAGAGGCACCTCGGAGCACACCAGAGGACAAGGGCTGAGGAGGGAAAAGGGGGTTAGGTCCTATCCACCTTCCCTCACTATCCACCATGACCAGAACTCCCACCAGACCCCCAGGAGAGGCTGAGTCTAAAGGTTGGCTGCCCCAGCAACACAGGCTGACATGACGTCTCAGCTGGCCCAACTCTGCACCTGCCAGTCCCTGAACTGGCCAAATCTGATTCCCAGATTTGAAGATGTCCCACAGCGGGGAGGGGCCCTCGGAAGCCATCCCATTTTCACCCAGTCTCCCCAGCGACCTGGGACACTGATGGTCAGAGCCAGGATCCCGCCTGTTGCTAGGCAACTGAACTTTGCGCTCTGGGCTTCCCTGACCCCATGGCCCAGCCTCCTTAATGGCCTGTCCCAGACAGGTCCCCACCAGGCAGCAGGCACGGTCAGTGCAGCTCTTAGGGCTGGGGTGTCTGGTGCCTGTCCTGCCATGAGGAGCAGGCCCTCTGGCTTCTCCCTGGACCTCGGTGTCCCTACCTGAGAATGGATGCTTGGACACTGAGGACTGCTCCCGGAGATGACAGCTAGAGAGGAAGAGATGAGGGGGACTGAGCAAGCCTCCATTGGGGTGCTGCCCCCACCACTCCCCTGAACCTTGTTTCTCTTCTAGTCTGAGTCATAACAACATCTCTCAGGAAGGTGCCCTGTACCTGGTGGAGACGCTGCCCTCCTGCCCACGTGTCCGGGAGGCATCGGTGAAGTAAGGATTGTGTTGACACCACTTGCTGATGGCGGGCAACGCAGGCCTCCCCTGCTTAATGGCCCTCCTCTCTCTGAGGGTCAGGGTCACTGAATTCGGCCTCACAGTTTCCATCCCCTGTGGCCTCAAGCCCTGGGGACCAGGGAGGTCACAGTGCGAGAGGGCCAGGTTAAACAGAAGGAGGAGGTGATCTGCTCCCATGGGCAGGGCCTTTCTGGGGTGTCTGGCCTCCTTTGCTTGTGGGGAGGGGTCTGTTCTTCTGCACCCCCAGTGCCTGGGTGCCTAGGATGCTGGCCAGGTCAGCCCTTAGGCTTCCCCAACCCCTCTCTCTGCAGCCTGGGCCCTGAGCAGAGCTTCCAGATTCACTTCTCCCTACAGGAGGAGGCTGGGAAGACACTAAGGTAAGTAAGGCCTGCTCTGGGGTGAGGAGGAAAGGGGAGAGGAGACTGACCCTGTGGTGGCCTCCATGCCTCCTCTGGGCCTCTCCTCCTTCACACACCCGCTTCAAGCTCACTGTTTTGTCTGCCTCCCCCGTATCTACCCGCAGTCTCCCGACACCTGCAGCCCTCAGGCAAGCCTTCATACTGTATCTGTGCATCTAAGGCAGGTCCTAACTCTAATAAGTCTGGAGGCTTCTGACTATGTCAGTTAGGAAGTTGGACTCTGGAGCCACTTGGGGGTAGATCCCAGCTCTAGCACTTCCCAGCTGTGCGCCCTTGGATAAGTGACTGAACCTCTCTGTGTTTCAGGAGAGTGATAGTAAAACCTGCCTCTTAAGGTTTTTGTTGCATTGGCCGGGAAGTTGTTGTGGATGAGCCCCCAAATATGTGACATGACGTGATTTGATGAACGGGGACCAGGGCCAGTATAACAATGAATTGAAACACCACACACTAACAGCAGTAATAAGCAAGCCAAAGCAAGTTTATTCAGACACAGGCCAGCTCTCCAATTGCCGCAGGCTTAGAGAAACAGGCTAACTGCTGCCAGCAAGGAGCAGGCCTGAGAAGATTTATGCAAGGACAGATAACAATGCTGCTCCCACGGGAGGGGTCCTGAATGGGTTGCTGTTCGTGAAAACAGCTTGGGGGGTTTTATAGTTTTGCACATGTTTTGGGCCTCAGGGATGAGCTGTGGTGATGGTGCAGTTTCTTGATGGGTCACCCTTGGCCGATATCCTAACGTGGATTAAACAGTCATAGTATCATGGGCTTTTTCTTGTTATTGGCTTTTCTCTCGTGTTACATCTCCCAGTGTCCCAGTCTATCCTAGCCCCTCATTAGAGTGACGAGTAAGTGAGTTCATGTGTGTGTCTGTATGTGTGTGTGTATATAAAGTGCTTGGAAAGGGCCTAGCTCACTTGAGTGCTTTATCTATTGCTATTGCTGTTACAGTGATTACCACCCACCACCCCCTACCCTCTAGCTTTGGGATCAGCCGCTCTCAGCCCTACCACCTCCGTCTGAGACTCATTCCCTGCATGTCTTACTTTAGCTGCCATCACATCCTCCAAATTGCTCTGGTTCTTCTGGCCAGGCCTCCTCCATTCACCCCTCAACAGTGGGAGGGATCCTCCCAACACACACATCTGACTTTGCCACCCCCATACTCTAAGCCTTTCAAGGACCCTGTCGCTCCCAGGATAAAGTTCAAATTCCTTAGCCCGCCTCCTCCCTCATCGTCTGACCTGGCTGTCGTTTCCCATGATCTTCCCCTCACCCCCACACCATACACACACCCCACACACGTACACACACCCCATATGTGCACACACCACATACAGGCTATACACATACCACATGCACACACACAACATACACGCATGTTCACACACCCAACACCACATATACACACATACCACACCCAACATACACATACACACACATTCAGCCATAGAAAGCTTTGCTTCTTGTTCACCACACATGTACTGCCTGATGAAGCTTTCCTACCTCTCAGAGGCTACTGGGCTGACATTCTCTTCCGTGTCTTTCCTGAGATAAAATTCTCCTGGCCATTTAAAGCCCAGTTCAAATGTCAGCCCCTCCTAGAAGCTTCCAGTGGTCCCTGTGCAGCAGGAGTGAGCCTCCCTGTGAAGTTGTGCTGGGCCTCTCTTAGCCCATCTGGGAGGCGGTGGTCAGGGGGTCTGTCTGCTGACCACACAAGGTCGGGGCGCCTGGAGCTCAGGGCTATGGAGAGAATCCCAGGGTGGAAGCTACATCTCAGGCCTTTTTTCAGGCCAGGTTCAAGGTCTTTACACTGTGGCAGGAAAGAAGGGCTCCCCTATAGATTCTGGGGGGAGCTTGGGAAAAGCAGGACAGCAGCCCCCACAGGCCTCACTCAGACTCTGCCCCCTGTCCTCCACCCTCAGGCTGAGCAACTGTAAGTTTGGGCCAGAACATGTGTCCAGACTGGCCACCGGCTTGAGCCAGACCCACCAGACCCAGCAGCTGACAGAGCTCACGTGAGTGATCAGGCCCAGTCCCTGGGGGCAGCTGAGGGGTGAAGACTCCCTGCCAGAGTCACCCTAGTAACCCACCTCTGTCTCCAGGCTGATGTGCTGTGGCCTGGACCTGGAGCAGCTGACCATCCTCCTGAGCCTGCTGAGGAGGCCAGCAGGACTCCTCCATCTCTGGTATTGTCTTCCTCATGACCCTGAGAGCAGGCAGAATGGGGACTAGAGTAGGACTCTCACCAAGGTCATGGTGCCAGACATTTCCCACATCCAGAACCCTGCCCATGTGTCTTGAAGACCCCCTCAGGCACATGGAGATGTCACCCTCCCCAGGGAACATGGCCTATATCATGTGTTTTGCTAGGATCTTTTTTTTTTTTAAGATTTATTTATGCATACAAGAACTGGGGTACAGGCCAGAGGTACGGGAGGTGAGGATTCACCAGAGACAGAGAGGGGAGCAGAACAGGCAGATCTACTGAAACACACTGCTGAGGGGAGCAGCGGGTGGGACAGGAGAAGTCTGCTGCACCATGTGGTTAGCTCCCCAGCCAGCCAGGAATCAAACAATGCTGAGACTTAACCCCTTGCGCCACCAGGGAGGCCCTCACTGGGATCATTTTTAACCCTTTGGAAAAGCAAGAAGATATCAAAAAGGAGAGAGAATAATTTTGAAAACTCATATTCCCACCCCCTAGGTTCCACAGTAGTTCCTGTTTTTCCATATTTGCTTCATGTGTTTCTGCTTGAAGTGTTCTGAAGTGGGTTAGAGACCTCATAAAAAAATCACTCTGAAATATTTCACTACAAATTTTTAAGAAGTAAAGCCATTTCTGACAGAATCACAGTTGAATGAGGACATCTATGAAAATCAATAGTAATTCCTTGGTGTTATGTGTTGCCCAATTCAGTTTAAGGTGTCCCACTGTCCCCAAAGTTGGGACCATGGTTTGTGGGTTCAGGATCAAGTCCAGGTTTACATTTGCCTAGGGCATGGTGACAGTTCTTAGGAAGCTTAATCCTTGTCACCCCCACCCCCCCATCATTTCACACACCCCCCATCACCCACACACTCACACCACACACCCTTTCATATCACTGAAAGGTAGAAGCGGATGCCCAGCTGCAGCCCGCCCCCCCACCCCCACTCTCTGGCCCTTTCTTGCTTCCTGTGATGACACTGAGTTTGGTCCTCTAAACAATGACTTTTCTGGAACTGGACATTAGACCAAATGGCTCCATGAGATTCAGGTACATATTTGTGTCCAAAAAACTTAACTTTGTGGACAGCGCCATGTACTTTTTATTGGCTGGTTGTTCGCCAAACTAACCTTTTTTAATTATGGTCAAATACATAGCATCAAATTTACCATAATAACCATTTTCTTACTCTAAATATAATATGGAAATGTTGGAAAATCCAGAAGAGCCTAAAAAGAAAATACTTGGGGAAAAAAATTCAACATTAACTTTAAAAGTAGGAATATTTTAAGCAACTCTTTTTTCTGCCTCTAAATTAATGCATAGACATTGTAGAAAGTTCTGCAAATATTGAAAACTAAAGAAGAAACTAAGTAAAAACCATTCATGGGTATCCTACTAGCTAAACAACCACCATTAACATTTAATATGTTTCCTCATCTCTGACTCCCTCTTACTCCCTATGGTTTTTTTTTTTTCTTCCTTCTCTTTATATATTTTCCCTTTTTTTACATACAAAGTTGAGATCATGTTTTACATACTTTTTTTTTTTTTTATACACTGCTGAGGGGAGCAGCGGACGAGACAGGAGAGGTCCGCCGCGCCACGTGGGTTGCTCCCTGGCCGGCCGGGGATCGAACTCGCGCTGCAGAGGCTCCGGACTGCCCCACAGTGGAGTGCCCAACCCCCTGCGCCACCAGGGAGGCCCTGTTTTACATACATTTTTATTAACAGGGTGGAGGAGCCGTGGATGGAAAATGCCAGTGTGCTTGACCTGCTGAAAGTGTGTGCCCAGGCCTCAGGCAACATCACTGAAATAAGGTGAATCCAAAAGGAGCCCCTTAGAATTCTTCATCTTCTTATGGACATTGGGACCTTATCTCTGGGGAGTCTCTTGTCCTGTGGACTCACAGCTGCATCACTCACAAGTCCCCAAGATGGCAGGCACTCCTAGGGTTTCTACAAGGGGCTTTATAGGGCTGTTGGGACCTGTGCAGTAGTCAGGCTATTGTGCCAGATTGAGGACAGTGGCCCTAGATTAAAAACACAGGGCTGTTGAATCTATGTCGACACAACTGGTGGTCCACATTGGCTGCCTAGAAATGGACCCTGCATTCTAGTAACACGCACCTCAGCTCCGAGATGACAGAGTGACATGGAGTAGCTGATAGCAAAGGCTTTGGTATCCCACTGACTTCTGTCCAGGTCTCCACTGGGCCTGGGAGCTCTGTTTAAGGAGCCCCAGTCCCAGCTCAGCCTTCCTGGGAAGAGCCAATGGACCTCACACTGGCCATCCTTCTCTCCTCAGCATCTCCATGACCCAGATCCACGTCCAGCTGGAATTTCCCCAACAGGAGAACCCAGAGGCCATGACTCTCAGGTGGGACCCAGGACTTGGGGCTCCAAGCAAGTGGCTGGAAATGGGGATTGGGGGGTGGGGGGAGAGGGGCAGTGTTGCTTCCGGCATTTCTCATGTCCCTGCTCTGAGTCCTTTGATGTCCAAAGTCTCTACATCATGAGGTCCGGCCCTTTCTTCCCCTCCATGGCATGTAGTCCTTACCCCCAAGCCTCAGTCTCAGCTGCAGCCATCCCCACCGCCTCCACTTCCTCCAGCCCCACCTTGCTCCCTTTGACCTCAGGACCTTTGTACAGGCTCTAACCAGCCCAGAATGTTCTCTCCTCTCCTCTCTTCCTCCTTCTTGGCTAACTTCCCCTCACCCCTCAGGTATCCTCCATTCTTAGCTTAAATGCCACCACCTCAGGGAAGCCCCTCTGAACCCCGAGTCCTGCCTTTATTCACTTGTAGGGACCTGGATTTACAACACCTCTAATCCATATAGCACATTTTTGGAAATTAAAATGTTACCTGCTTGGGGTAAATGCGACCCTGCAGGTTTACATCCTGAGTACCAGACCACAGCTGGCTCCTATCCCCAGCTCACCTCCCTGGCTGTGCCCCCTCTGGACCTCTCCTCCATAACCCTGCTCATAATTGAATTGTGGGACTTTTTTGTTTAGGGGGAACTTTATTTGATTAGCACTTGTTTACCCCCAAAAGTAAGCTCCTTGCAGACAGGGACTGAGTCCCTACTTCTGACCCAGGAGTTCAGAAACTGCTACCTCCCTGTCCACCTCCAGGTTGGCTCACTGTGACCTCGGGACCAACCATAAACTTCTGATCAGGCAGCTGATGGGTACATGTGCCAGGCTGCGGCAGCTCAGGTCAGCACCCCGAGACACTACCAGGGGCCCCGAGTTCTCTGGCCAACCCCAGTACATACTCTAGGCCACATGTGAGAGGCTGACCACTCTAGGGTGGGGGTGAGCAGTGCCTGGGGCAGTGCTAGGCCCAAGCATCCTTGCTTCCTATGCCAGCCGATGGGGGCCAGTTCCAGAGTGGCATAGGGGAGCCTGTCCCCCTCTGTATATGACCGGTGACCCCTGAGGTGTGTCCAGCCTAAAATCCAGTAATATGTGTGGGCCCTTTCAGCTTGTCCCAGGTGCGCCTGTGCGAAGCCAGCTCCCTGCTGCTGCAGAGCCTGCTGCCCGCCCTGTGTGAACTGAAGAAGTTCCGGTACGCAATGCCATGTCCACCCTGCCCCCCACTGCTCTGCCTGCCCCCCCCCAACTTCCTGTTCTATACAACCCTGGGCTCAGAGAAACTGTGTCCCCACCCTGTGGACTGATCTCACACTTGACCCTGGAGATGATCACGGGTCTAGGGTGAATGCCATGGCCAGAGAGTGATTCTATTTTCAATTCTCTTTCTTTTTATTATTTAGAAATAATTGAAAACAAATGGAAAAGTTGTGAGAAGACTGAGAAGAACGTTTGCATACCATTTTCCCAAATTCACCCTTTATTTTTTCAATTTAATTTTATTTATTTATGTACATCATTGCTCATTTTTGTATGTTTGACTTACCCCTTAGGTGTAATCCCCATAAAATTCCCACCACCAAATCTCTCGCGAACCATCACCATAGACTCGTGTGCTCTTCCCACCCCTTTTATGGCCTCTCTCCCTCCTGGTCCCCTGTGGTATGTCTCAGATCTATAGTTCACCTGCCAGTTTCGTCTTTATTTTTCTGACCCCTTGTTCAGTTTCCCTATATTCCTTCTATAAGTGAAACCATCTAACATTTTTCTTTTCCTTCTGACTTATTTCACTGAACATCATCCCTTCAACTCCATCCATGCTGTGAATGGCATGAATTTATCTTTTCTGATTGCTGCGTAGTACTCCACTGTGTAGATAGACCACCTCTTACTCATCCAGTCATCTGGTTTTGTTGGTTCCATATCTTGGCTATTGTAAATAGTGCAGCAGTAACCATAGGAGTGCAGGTTTCCTTTTTAATGTTTTTGTGCCTTTTGAGTAGATTCCTAGGAGTGGAATTGCTGGATCACATGGTAGATCCATTTTTAATACAAATTCACCTTTTATCAATATTTTTTCACAAGGGCTTTTCTTCCCTCCGCTCTCTCCCTCTCTTTCTCTCTGAGCCATTTGAAAGTAAGTGACAAAGCCACGCCCTTTCATCCCTTCATTCTTCAGTAAATTCCCTAAGAACCAGGACATGCTCTCTCATAACCCAGTAAAGCTTTAAAATGCGGGAAATTTAGCATTGATATGGGAGAGTATCTAAAGCACAGTTTATATTCCAGCTTTGTCAGTTGTCCCAATAATGTTGCTTCTTGCATTTTTCCTAGGCCTGGGTCCCATGCAGGACCACTCGCATCTCTCCTTCAACTGGGAATGTGTCCCCAGCCCTTCTTTGTCTTTTGGGATTTTGTCCTGACATTGAGATCAGCTGTTTCACCAAGTATCCTATAACTTGGGTTTGTCTGATGTCTCCTGTGCTCAGATTCAGGCTCTGCCTTCCTGGCAGGAATATCATGGCGGTTCTCTTGTGCTCCTCTCCCCATGTCACACCAGGGGGCAGACAGTGATTCTCTCTGCCCCCTTACTGGTGATGACAGCTGTGATCACCTGGTGAAGGTAGTGTCTGACAGCTTTCTTCCTTGTTCAGTTATTATTTTCCCTTCTGTGATTAGCCAGTATCTTGTAATTAACTGGTTTTGTAATTAGCCAGTATCTTGTCGGAGATAGTATAAGACCGTGTACATAGCCCGATCTTCCTCAAAGTTTCACCACTCCTTTTAGCACCCTGGGATAAGTCTTGCCTGAATTGCTTATCAGCATGACAGCTGCAAAATGGAGTTTTTCTGACTTTCAATAATCTTTCAATCCAACTGATTACATCAAGGAGAAGGTCTTCTTTTGGTGCCTGTGTGTCTTTAACATCTCTCCAACACTTGCGACTTTTTTTTTCATTGCTCAAGACACAGAGTTTGTGGTCAATGACCACCACTAGGTGGACCGTATGGTGATGTCCGACTATGGCACGTATCATGAAGTTGCTGCCTGATTGGTTGTGCTTTAGGGAAATACTCAGTTACCCTGTGCTCCTGACTCCAAGCTGTGCCTTGGCTTAGTGATTCCGTGAAGGGAGAGCTTTATAAAGGGAGAGAAGGGTCCCCTTCCACTGTCCTCCCTGAATCTCCCCCACCCCACCTCCTCAACCTCTGCCACCAGCATTTAGAACTCCCAGGACCCAGAGCCCCTGTCTGACCTGCTGCCCTTTGACCCCACCAGGCTGACCTCCAGCAGTGTGAGTGCCAAGGGCCTGGCCTACCTGGCCTACCTGGCATCTGGTCTGAGGCACTGCCACCACCTGGAAGAGCTGAAGTGAGTCAGGGATGGGGGACCCTGGAGAGGGGTGGGCCGAGGGAGGTCAAGGGGTGGAGAGGACCTTGGGCTTTTGCTAAGGCAGGTCACTTCTCTCCCTGTGCAGCCTGGAAAAGGCTGAACCTGAGCTCTCCATCAACGTTACCACCCACTCAGAGCAACTCTGGCGGAAAACTCTGACCCTTGGGGATGGCCTCCTTTGCAAAATGGAAATCATAATCCCTCTCCGCCTGGGGTGGCAGAGTTGAGGGCGGAAGGGATTGTGACATGTGTGTGTATGTGTGTGTGCGCGTGCATGTGCACACGCGCACGCACGCCCTGTCCCCTGTCCTCTTCCTTCCTCTTCCTGGACTTTCTCAGCTAGTCAGCTGTGACTGCCACACTCCCTTCTCTGGGACACCAAGGCTTGACCTTTGGGGTCAGGGATACCCCCATGGAGCCTAGATCTACAGACCGAGACCCAGAGCTAGCCTCCTGGGGGTACTGAGCAGGGGACACAGGGGTCTGGTCAGGCTTGTCTAATCCTCAACTCATTCTTGGTCCCCTCCAGCTTGTCTGTCAATCAACTTGGCGAGGAAGGCACTATGGTGCTGATGGGAGCCCTTGAGAGCAAGTGCGGGCTGAAGAGGCTTGAGTAAGTGGTGGTGGTTAATCGGAAGGAGGGAGTGTGAGTGTGCCTAGGGACCTTTGCGTTTCTTATGGACACCGTCAAATCCTCCCAAGACCCCTTTTCTTCCCTTACCTGGCTCTGCATGCCATCAAAATGCCTGATCATAGGAAACAAAATACCCACGCAAACCAACCCAAGTCAGAAATGTATTGGCTCAATGTCACAGAAAATTACAAGGCAACTGACTTCAGGCATGGCTGGATCCAAGGATTCTATATTTATTCCCTCTGTCTCATTTTGACTTTATTCCCAGCTACAGGTTTATTTTCTACTAGCTTAGTGGAAAGAGAGTACCTTTATTCCTGTCATTACAACTAAAACAGCCTAGACTGTCTCGCTGCACTAGCCTGGGTCATATGTCCATCCCTAAGCCAGTCATCAATCACTCTGAGCACTAAATGTTCTCATGGGCCAGATCTGGGTCATGTGCCCAGTTATCTGGACTTAGTAGGGTCTCTTTCAGGGTGCTATTAACAGAAGAAAGGGAAACAAGCCCTAGGCAGAACAAAACCCAGAGGTGTCCATTTGGTGCCAGTCATTTTCCTCCTAACTGGCAATTTTCACCTAGAATTTGGAGTCACCAGAGTCTTAAAAACACCAGAAACAGCCTCAGTCTAAAGGACAGGTGCCCATCTTGTGCAGACATGGTCATATCCAGGCAGAACATTCTACAGGACATTTTTTGCTTTGAATCTCTACATTTTTCTGATGACGACAATTTGTGAATTTTCTCTAGAATTTTTTTTTTCGACATTTTTGGAATACAGTTTAAAAGATGCCTCTGACGTTTTCCCCTAAGCTATGGAATTCTCCCACTCTGACCCTCTTGGCTTGTCCTGGGATGGGGAGGAGGTGGTATTAGGGAGACCTTGGCCAGAGCCCACCAGGCTTCCCACCCCACCCCTTGCCAGGTGTGCCTGCATCCCTGTTCAGCCTCCCTTCCTTCTGGAGCCTTTTTTGGGGGTTCAGAGGCCCCAGGTGGTCATTCATTAGCTCACTCGTGTCTTTGGCAAGTATGTGCTCTCCAGGGCGCCTGGAGGTGCTGCGGGAACCAGATGCTTATGTTACCCTCTCTTCTGATTTCTCAGCTAGCCGGTAGCACCCCTTACTTCTCACCGCTTCATCACCCGTCTCAGAAGTGGGTGTAACAATAACTTCCATGTCTAAGGGAAGGAGGTACTCAGAAGCCCTCCCCATCTCAGAACTCTCATCTTCAAGTGTCTCTTTCCTGACCAGCAGCTCCCTGCCAATCCAGCTGACTGCTCCCACTGACCCCTCTCAGAGGGCTGGGGGCCACACTGCCAGCATTCACGCTTGGAAGGGTGACTAGCTGACCAAGCTGACCAGAACAGCCCTTGGGCGAGTCACTCGATTAACCTCTGTGCACGTTTTCCCTCATCCTAACGCTGGGGATGACATCTGGGACACTGGCTGTGGGGATTACACAAGATAACACGCCACAGCCACATTATGATGAGTCCCCTCTGTGCCCGGGCTGGGGGCCTGAAGGAGCAAGATCCGGTAGCTGACATATGGCCGGGTTCCTGGAATGAGGGTCCTACAACCTTGGGTTCTATTACAGAGCCGTGAAGCTCTGTGGGCTTCAGGCTGCCTCATCTGTAAAATGGGAGAGACCCGGCCCTCAAGATGGCCCTGAGCACGGTGCTGGGCCCACAGCGTACACTTCCTAGCGTACACTTCCAGCGTATCACTCTGGATACCAGGGAGTTGGGTCCAGTGTGAATCAGAATATAGAACTGCTGCCTGGATAACCCTAATAATTACTGCAGAGAAATTATTTCCCAGCACAGTTTTATTTTGAACAGTTTTATTTTAACTGAGGGGGTGTAAGTGCCTGACTTGGAGGGCCCAGGGCATTGCTGAGCCTGGATAGGGCCTGGGTCCGCAGCTGGGATGCAACCCCAGAGAAGCCAGAGCTTCCTTGGCCTCCAGCCTCAGCCCCGCTCTTCTCTTAGCCTCAGCCATTTCCTGCTCAACGACTCCATGCTGGCTGCGCTTACCCAAGGACTGAGCCCCATGACCCACCTGCAGAGCCTCCGGTGAGTGACCCCCTGCCCCAAAGGAATGAGTCAGAGGACTGGCTCCCTGGCTGGGGAAGCCCTGGGGGCACTCCCTGAAGCCCCTCATGGGCTCTGTGCTCGGGACTCTCCTGCCCTCCCAGGCCAGTGCCATGTGCTCTTGTCTTTTCACGTCTTGAGGTTCCTCCTCAAGGAGATGGCCCAAGTTCTAAAACAAGCTCATGTGCACGCAGAGCCTCCACACTCTACCCACCTCCCCAGTGCTGCCGATCCCATGCAGGCCGACCATGTGGTGAGGGTCTAAATTCCGACGTTACTCGGTGATCGTGATGTTGTCACCCTTTGCCACTGGCCACTGGGACAAGCAAATATCACAAGCTCTTTTCATGTGACTTTTCAAAAGGAGAAATAGGGTACCTGAAAACAAAGCAGGAACACAACCAAGCCCTGCTAGTTCTGGCCCAGACGCTCCCCCAAGCCGGAGGAGTGAACTATATAGGAGGTCAGAGAGTTTGGTGGGGGCGGCAGATCACAGGGGACCAGGTCATTTTACCCTGAATTAACTCAGTTAAAATTTCACTTGGAAAACAAAATGCCTCAGACCAGTGCCTCACCTGTCTGGTTTCCTTGGGTTTTTCCCCACTCACAGAAGGGCAAGGTCAAGATGCAAAAAAACAAAAACAAAAACAAAAAAAACAATAAACTGAGTTTAAGGGAAAGCCTACCATTTGCATGGACTAGCAGGTGATTTGTTTGGAGAAAGGATTTGCCTGCATGTAGACACCCCATGAAATTGTCATTCAACCGGGAGATCCCTGACACAGAGGCGGAGGTAGAGCTGACCCACCCGAAGGATGCAGTCAGGACTCCCAGGGCCCCTGGCTTTGCAATCCCACCTCAGCGGGGAGTCACACAGGGTGGGGGCCAGGGAGGGGGAGCAGGGCCACAGCTCCTCTCTGCACCTCAGTTTGCTCATCTGGACACTGGGTATAAGGTCCTTCTCACCTCCCTCCTCTTGGCTCTCTGTCAGAGTTTTGTGACTGCATATGAGTTCCTGGATGGGTGGAGGATTGCAAACTGTAGGTGCTGAACACAGTGCCTGCAAAGGCACGTGCCCCTGACTCGACCTCTGCTTCTCCAGGCTGAGCCAAAACAGCATAGGCGACATGGGCTGCTGCCGCCTGTCAGAGTCTCTCAGAGCTGCCGCCGCCAGCTTGGAGGAACTGGAGTGAGTTGTCTGTCCCTCCCCCAGACCCAAGACCACGTCGGCAGGGAAGAACCACTGCTCTGCATAAGTCCAGGCCTAGAACCTTGGGACACCCAAAGATCAGTTGTGGGAGTGTTGATTGCAGCAAGTGGGGATTAGGTCAGACATCAGGAGAAACGCCTACACACAGGACCAGAGTCTGACTCTCCCCACACACAGGGTCGGGGGCTCTCACTGTCAGCCCAGACCTCTCTCTCCACACCAGCTCCTCCTCTATTCTGGGAGGGCGAGGTGGACCAGGCGAGAGGCTTTCAGTTCTCCTGCTCTTCTCTCCTCCAGCTTGAGCCACAACCAGATTGGAGACGTCGGTGTCCAGCACTTAGCTGCCATCCTGCCAGAGCTGCCGGAGTTCAGGAAGATAGAGTGAGTGGCCAGACCGCTGACAGGGGCCTTCACAGGTCATACCGCAGGCCAGGAGACACTGGCCCTGGGACGACCTGACATTCCTCCCCTGGACACCTTCTGTGTCCAGGCAGCGGGTCCCCTTCTGGCCCTGCTGACCTTGAGGCTGAGAGCCAGCCCAGCCCCTGCTCCCCTCTGGGCCTCCCTGCCCCTCAGGCTGGAAGGGTGTCTAGGGTCTGATGTCCACTCCGCCCCTCCCTCAGCCTGTCAGCAAATGGCATCAGCCCAAATGGGGGAGTGCGGTTAGTGGAGTCTCTCATCCTTTGCGGGCACCTGGAGGAGATGAGGTGAGTGTCTGCCCAGGTAGGCCACCCACTGCCTCTTGCCCCATGGCCCACCTGGCCCTCATCTCTCCCGTGCGCACAGGGAGGTTCGGGGAGCAGAGCAGGCCGGCCCATGCTCAGCCACGTCCACTGTCTTCTTTCAGGCTTGGCCGCAATGCCCTGAGGAACCCCACAGTCCTGAAGCTGGCTCAGGCGCTGCCCCCACATCTGAGGGTCCTGCAGTGAGTGTCCCCGCATCTGTGGTGTATGCAGGGCTGGTCATTTTACCCCCACCTACCCCAGAGAGGCTGGCAGTTGCCTCTCCTGCCCACCCTGGAGTCTTAGGCAGGGCACTCGGGAGACCCAGCCCAGTCCTGGCTCTGCCACCAGCCCCTTGGGTGGCCTTGGCCAACCCCTTCCCTTCTGAGTCTCAGTTTCCTCATCTGCAAAGGAAAGGCCACAATCCCAGCTCATGAGCCCTTCTCCGAGGAAAGTATCAGCAAGGAAAGTGCCAAGCAGCACAGCCTCAGCACTCTACAGTTTCTGTCTGGTCTCATTGGAGCCTCACAGCAGCCCGTGGCACCCAGATTTCCATATGTTCTATTTTCCAAGCAAGGGGACTAAAGCCAGGAAAGGCGTGGAAAGCTTACGTTATTAATACATGAAGGAACCAGGCCTTGAACTTGGGATCTCAGCTATAAAGCCCAGGGCCTTGATACCATCCAGACCCTGTGTAGATGGGGAGGGGGCTTGGAGGTTCACTTTCCCAGAGACTATTAAGATCTTCAGTGCAGCCTGGGAAGGTTCCAGGAAGCCCCCCGATCCCCACACCTAGTCCCCCAGGCTCCCTTCACCCCTGCCCTTTCCTCAGCCTGCAGTCTAGCCATCTGGACGCAGAGGGGGCATTGCAGCTGAGCCAGGCCCTGGACGGCTGCCCGCACGTGGAGGCAATCAGGTGCGCAGAGGCCGGGGAACCTGGGCAGGCGGACAGGCCGGGAGTGTCTGGGGGTTCTTCTCACAGGTGTTTCCTCTGCCCTGCAGCTTAGCACAGAACAGTTTGGCTGGAGGGGTTTCCCCTTTCTATAAGGGACTCGCACTGCTCAGGCAGATAGAGTAAGTACCTGGGGAGCAGGGGAAGGTGGGGGCCATCCTTTTCTGGCTGAGCCTGACCCCTGGGGAAGGCCTTTGAAGTGACAGAGGTCTCAGGTTTGGGGGAAGCCTGGGGCACTTGCCCCAAAAGGCCACCCTGCCGCAGACCCTGGCCACTCTGCTCCCTCCAACTCTGACTACAGGGTGGGGCAAAGGGGAACTGACTCACCCACCCTCCATGCCGTCCCTTCTCCTCCCCAGCCTGGTTTATTGCGAGTTGGACGACCAGACTGCTAAGCCCCTCATTGCCAGCCTCGTGCTCTGCCCAGCTCTGGAAGAAATCTTGTGAGTACTTGGCTGAGCCCAGGGCTAGGAAAAGGGCCACTGGGGCCTTGGCCTCAACCCACTGCTGTGGCCATTGCTGGCTCCTTTTACCCCTCCCAGTCTTCTACCTGGAAAAGGAAGAATGTTCTTGCTCAGACCTGTTCTCCAGGAAGTTATGTCAGGCAAAGCCTCGCCTGCTCACAGTTCCCATCTGTGGAGCGGCAGAAGAGGAGATGGACCAGATGGTCTCTAAAGGCTCTTTGCCCCTGACCTTCCCTTTGGGAGGTGGCTAGATTGACCACCTGCTTGGTTTATGGAGCCTGGATTTATAAACCACTGGTGGGTCGTAAAAATTAACTGTAGCCACAGACCCATGATGTGCGCACTGCTGGCTGAGCCCACCTCCCTCTGAGCAATCAGAAGCACTCGGAGCTTGGAAATATCTCAAGAGCAAACTAGGCCTCCAGACTAGCCTGGGACCTGGATCACGGGATGGAAGAAATGCCTAATCCTAGGGCCTCTCTAGTGGCACAAGAAGTTAAGATGCAGCCACTGCAGCTTGAGTTTGATCCCCAACCAGGGAAGTGACCCACATGGCGCAGCAGACCTCTCCTGTCTCACCCGCTGCTCCCCTCAGCAGTGTGTTTCAGTCAGTCTGCCTGTTCTGCTCCCCACTCTGTCTCTGGTGAATCCTCTCACCATCCCTATCACTGGCCTGCACCCCAACTCTTGTATGCATAAGTAAATATATCTTAAAAAAAAAAAAAGAAGCAATGCCTAATCCTAAAGTACAAGACACACATGATCACAAGAAGATTTTAGGTTTTCACCCTAGAGAACTTACTCCTTCTCATTCCATTCCACCAGAGAGATGGTCTGCTGAGTGCTCACTCCTCTGTAACACCCAGCACTGCTGAGTCTCACTTTTTCAGCCCCAGTGGGCAGGTCACAGGCTCTACTGCCTGCAAAGGACATAGAACCCATAGAATCGATTAGAAGAATACTGTTGTTTGCACTGTTTATCCTTGTCTATTCTTTTTAAAGGTCCTTAACACAGATTTTTCATTGATAGTAATAAATGTTTCCTAAGATTAATTTCTTAAAGAAAAAAAAAGTGGGGAAAGAAGATGAATTGAAAGAAAAGTATGATGCAAATAACAACACAGGAGGGGCATGGATGCAGCAGGACTTGTAATGGGGGTGCATGCCTGGAGAGACAGGATGTCGTTTCCTCGAACCCTGGGGACAGCAGCTCCTACCTGTGTAGATTCTTAAGGGGCAATAGCTTTGCTGTGGGGTTGGAGCAGGGAGGAGAGAGCTACCCATGGCCTGAAGTCCTCACCCCACCAGATGGCCTCTCTTGCACCTGCACAGCACACCCCCGTTGGCCCCCAGCCCTCCCCATCCATTGCCTGGTCTCCATGCTGACCTCACTGCTCCTGCTCTGACCTTGGAACCCCTACCCTGCAGGCTGTCCTGGAATCTGCTTGGTGATGAGGCCGCAGCTGAGCTGGCTCGGGTCCTGCCGAAGTTGGGCCAGTTGAAGAAAGTGGAGTATGACCCCCCATCCTGGGAAGCCCAAAGGGGTGGGGAGGGATGGAGAGGGACCGACGTTCTGGAAAAAGCCCAGGGGCCACTGGGTTTGGCCCCCGCCTCTGGAAGCCCCAAGCTCTTGTAAGCTTGGCTCTCTCCCTGCATACCAACCTTCTGCCTTCCTGCTGCACTGCTATCTGCTGGGTCCTCTGAGCAGACGTGTGGGGAGCTCATGTGCCCCCATCATGGCCTGGGGAAGGGCTATAGAGAAGCCCTTCTCCCCAATCTCATGCCTCTCTTACTTTCTTTTTCTTCATCCTCCGTTGCTCACTACGAAGCCTGGAGAAGAACCGAATCACAGCACGTGGAGCCTGGCCCCTGGCTGTAGGGCTGGCACAGGGGTCTGGCATCCAAGTCATCCGGTAACAAGGGCTGGGGGGGCAGGGATGGTGAGTGGGAGGCCACCCCAACCCCTGTAATGTAGGGAGACTTCTGCAAGTGGAGGCAGGCCCTGGGTGGGCAATGATCAAAGGACACTTGGACCAGGCCACCAGGAATTTGGCAGCAAGCAGACCTGGATCAATCCCAGCCCTGCCATTTGCCAATTGTGAAACTGCATCAGTAGCTAGACCTCTCTGAGCCTAGGGTTCCTTGTTTGTAAGATGGGGATAATGATAGTATCTACTTCAAAAAGTTGCTGTGAGGAGCAAATGATTATATAAAGCACTGAGCACAGTACCTGGCACAGTACCTGGCACATAGCTATCAAAGCCTCCATGTACGGTGGTATAGGTTGGGCACTGCACAAGGACATGGCTTCTAAGGGATACCATTCACATAGCAGACCTATTGGATTTTTAGCAGATGTTAGTGCCATGTTTTGTTCTATAAAAATCCCCATATTAGGCTAATTTCAGATGATGGACATAAAGTATCTTAAAGAAAGGGAGTTTTTTTCCTTATTTGCACAAATGTGCCACAGGAGCATGGCCCTGGTTAGGAGCACTTGCTCCTGCAGAAGACTGTGGGAATAGTCAGGAGGTGGGTGTGGGGGACACCACACCCCTAGGGTAGCCATGCTAGTCTAATACCTGCCTCTACTAGGTGACTCTGAGCAGCTCCCAGGACTGAATGCCTGTCTCTATGCCCTTCAGGCTCTGGGGAAACTCTATCGCCCCTGAGATGCAGCAGCATCTGCAGAGCCAGGAGCCCCGGCTGGTCTTTATTTGATGGCCCCCAAGACCCATCTGATCCAGCCAAGTGATGCCAACTTCCACCCACTGCGATAGAGAGCCCCGCAAGAGAGCCTCAACTGGGTGCCCTGCACACTGTCCCAGGAGGCTGGGGCATGTTTATCCCACTACAATCCTCAGGGAACACTTTTGAAGAGACTTGGAGCCTAGTATGGCCGAAAGACTACTCTGCATCATATGTGACATACATGACCACTTGGGGACATGCATCACAGTGTGGGTGTCATGATGTGACATGGACATGAAGGTCATCTACAGCAGAGTTCCATGAAACAGGAGATGGAACTTACAGTGTGACTGTGGTCAGTGACATGGATGTTACAGTGACAGTGGCATGGTACCATACACAGTGAGACACATGATGCATGGTCCATGTGTGACACACAATGTGTCCATGTCAAGTGACAGGGATAGGTCAAATGCACTCAGGCTGGTCCTCCATCTAATTTATTACTTTTTATTTTTAGCCAAGCATGTATTTATAGTTTACATTTCCAGAGCAACCAAGTCAGGGAATGTCTCCCGCCCAACCCTGGGGAAGGGAGGAGCGTGTCCAGATACTGAAGCCCCCAAAGGCAGGGCTCTGGGCCAAGAAACCTTGACCAGAAGACTTCTGCATGGGCCCCCTCCTGCCTCAAGCTGCAGTTTTCTTGTATACTGTATAACCCTCCCCTTGAATGCTGTCTTCCAAGAATTTTGGACCGAGGTCCAGAGAGAGCCAGCCTGACCTTGGGAATGGACAGACCCGGTCTGACCTGTGTAAGGGACAAAGTCAGGTTTAAGGGTGCAGGGGTGAGCACTGCCAAGTTAACTAAGCAAGAACACAGGGTTCAGCCACCAGTTTAGCAGGATCCACAAGACCTCCCAGGAGCCACATGTATTACAGTGTTCTCGTTACTTCCAAGAGGCCCAATGGTGGGCTCTCCAACCCAAGTTTGATCAATAAATGTGGGTCGTTTTCTACTCTCTAGCCTGAGTCTGATGCATCCTGCCACCTCACCAAGATCACAAGTGGCACACTGCCTGCTCCTCAGACTGGAAAGCAGAGCAGACCAGAGAGGTATGCTGAGAGGGGCACTGGCCTGGGAATCAGGAGACATGGGGCAAGTCCAGACTCTGGACTGTTTGGTCATGTGATCATGGGCAAGCCGCCTCCTCTCTCTGGACCTCACCTGCACTGTGAGCATATGAGGAAAGCTCAATGTGTTAGAAACATTCTTTGCTTGACTTGCATTTTGCAGTAGCTTGCAGTTACTACTCGACTTTTCTGAATTGTCAATCTTTAAAATGAGGAACTTTTGCATAAAATGCCAGATTTCTCTTAGGTGAAGTCCAACACATTCCCACTCAAGAGTAATCTGCTAGAGCCGTGTGACAGTGCCCTTTAGATGTGGCATACATCCCTCAATTTTAAGCAGTTCCCCCTACTCCCCAGTAACCTCCTCTCTTTTGGCGATTGCCTGGTCCTTGCAAGAACCTGGTAACTCCTGACCCAGAGGTTTTCCACAGGCAGGTGGCATATTAGGAACATGGCTTGGAAGTCAGACGGCTATGGGATGGGAAGTGACTCCAGTTGCTGCCTGTCACTGAGAGCAAGAAGTGTTTTTACATGTGAGTTACTAACACCGCCCCGCCCTGCCCCTGTTCCCAGGACTTTTGGAGGGGTCATGGAAGCAAGGTATGCGAAGTTCCTAGAATGAAGAAGTAGGAACCGGTTACGTGTTTGTTCCCTTCATCTTTTATGGCTGACTATCATATGAGATGGAGAGATACTCAAAATGACAACACCCAAGTTTATCTCAGGGTGTTTATCTCAGTTTATCCCAAGTTTACCCCAGACTTCCTCCACAGTCACACCCCATTCTGAAAAGTGGGAGGGGTGCAGTTACAGCTTATCACCACTAGAGGGAAGGCTGGTCCATTCCTGAGATAACTTCCTTTGCCAGTGGACCCAGAAAGTATGGAAGAGGTAATGCTAGGAGCTGTTCCCAGGTGACCTGGGAGCCTGGAATGTCCTGACCTGCCAGTGGCTCACCTGGACAGCTCATCCCTGACCTTTGCCACCTTCCATGTTGTCCTGGTCTCCTGCAAAGCATGAGGAGAAAGTCCTCCAGCCAAGTGCCAAACACACACATCTGGCACAGGGACACTTCTATAGAGTCAGGCTCAGGGCGCACCTGGCACTGTGTGGGGCCATCAGCCTTGTCCTGGGGGAAGGGGATGGACAGGGAAAGGAACACAGACTTTAACCAGAAACGTGGAGTCCAAATTTCTGTGACCTTGGGCCCTCACAGTGCACCTACACCCCGGGGTGAGGGGGTGCCAGCTCTCCTGGAATGAGTCCCTCAAAGCTTGGAGATGCCTTGACCTGGGAAATCAAGGCTGAGGAAGAACAGAGTCCCAACCAGAAGCTCCCAGCCAGTGGACATGCACACCCAGCAGGGCCCAGGGATTCTTCATTTGCTGATTAGTTTATTTACTCCCACCCCCCGCCTTTCTTCCTTTCAACTCAAAATTCTAAACTCCCAAAAAACTTCATCAGCTGCCCTGAAATAAACCACAGTGTTGTCAGCACCACAGAGCTGCTGGGCCCACGTCAGGCTGTGCACCCTCATCTTGTCTATATTCTCACGAACTTTCTCCTGCTGCCTGCTGATTGGAGCCTGGACCGTTTTTCTATTCAACACTGATGAGGTCCAGGCTCTGTCCCCCTTCCTCCCAAAAGTAGGCTCAATTTAAAATCAAATATGAAGACAAGTAAAATTCACAAAGAAGTGAAGACTCTGGTTCCATATATCCTGTAATCAAATTCACGCTCTGCATTTCTGGGAATACGTCTCACTAAATCCCATCAGGCTGGTAGTCCATCTGCAAGGCTGGGACACGCTTCTTTGCTGCGCTGTCACTTGGCCTCCATCCCGTGGTTTTACACATTTACAGATGAGTTTACAGAATGGAAATCCCAGAATCTCCCTTCCCATCCCCACAGGTTTCAAGTTCTCCCAAATTGCCTTCTCTGTCCTTCCCCCAAACACACACATCTGAAGTCCAGGCCAGTCATTCTCAAAACATAAAATCAGTTACAGAAACTGTCACATGCAGTGAATCATCCGGGGATCTAGTTAACATACAGATTCTGGCTCAGCAGGTCTGGGGGGCCTGGGACTCTACATTTCTAAGAGGCCCCCAATTGTTTTGATGTGGCTGGACCACACTGAGCTTGGTGACCGTAGGGTAAATGGAAGTGATCAGGTGTTTCCTCCCTCCTGCCATTAGCATCAGTGATTGGCGCCTGTGGCCTTGCATGTGTGCCTGATGGCAGCACCTGGAGTAGAGTGTAGGTGTGCATAAGAGGGCACACCTGCGCTGAGAGACTGGCCATATAAGGTGTGGCGACAGAGGACCATGGTGCAGAGTGCAGCGGAGAGCAGTGGAGAGTGTCAGAGAACGGCTACTAGAGGGAAGAGGGGATAGAGATTTGCTGGTGCGGGGGCGGGAGTGGGGGGGGGGGGGTGTGCCCAAGTTGCTGTCTCCCTGCTGGTTTGTTTCCCCTAACCTGTGGGGATGATGCCAAGAGCTCCAAGATTCTCTTTCAAGCTGCCTGAACTGATGATGAACCTACCCGGCCTGGGATGGTTGCAGACCAGCAACACCCAGACTAGCGAGTAGGCCTCAACCCTGACTTCACATAGGCATCACCTGGGGAATGCCTTTTTTTAAATAAAGTATTTAGAAAGTTCCCTGGCAATGCTAATATACAGCCACAGTGGAGACTGGTCTGGGGTCTGCCTCCTCTCAAAATAGGCAAGACTTTGCACCTACACCCCTTCTTTAGTCCCGAGGATCCTGGTGACCCTCCCTTCCCAGATAAGGACAAGGAGAACCAGAAATTTTTCCTGATTTGCCCACAGGCACACGGCCGGTAAGTGCCAGCACTAGGAATCAATCCAGGCTCCTCATGGCCTTTTTATTTCTTTCCTGTTTTATTGAGATATAATGGATCCAGTGGCAGAGGGGGAAAAGTTCCCGACCCTTCTGCGTTCTTCTCAGATTGGTCAAATAATCGAAATGACATCAGACAGATTAACTGAAGATAAAAACAATTTAATGATGTGCATAGAGGGTTGAGGATTGTAAAGCTAGTGAGGCAAAATGGGGACTTATATCCTGAGCTAAGAGAGGAGATAGAGGCCTGAGGCTTTAAGGAGCGAGCAGGGGAGGGGACTCACATGTCGAGGAGAGGTGATTCATGTGACAAAGAGCAGATGCTCTGTGATTCAATGTCTGCCCTGCCGTATAGATAGGCTTTTCAGACAGAAAGGTTATTTCTGGTAATAACCCTCATTCTGGATGAGACTGCCAATTTTCATCCTTCCAGGCAGTTATGCCACAGTAAAGGTTCCTCCTGAGATTCCGGGGCCTCCACCGACCTCCATGTGAAATCGTCTGCACACCAAGGGCCGCGTCTGGGGAAGCCTGATTTGGACGTCTATACAAGCACAAATTTAAGGGATACAGCCTAGCGATTTGACTCAAATCGATCACCACAATGAGTTCATTAACGTCCATCATCTTGTAGAGAGACAAAAAAAAAAAAGGAAAAACTTTTTTCCCTTCAGATGACCAGTCTCAGGACCGACTCTCAACGACTTTTAAATTTCATGACTCATAATCCCACAGGTGCAGCCCCAGTTTCCTTGTCTGCATAGTGAGGGGTGAAGAAATGAGACCAGGCACCAGGAGGTCCTCAGCTGCGAAGATGACCTGATGTTCCTTGGGCAGGGTTCTAAATCCTCTGTCACCAATCTTGCCTGGTGGTAGTTCTGAGGGGTTTCGCCATCTGGGATCCCCTCCAGTCAAACAGCACCATCACAGGAGAGACAAGATTTGCCCAAGGTCACACAGCAAGTATCTGGTGGCCTTCAAATTCCAACCTTGAGCAAGAAGGAAAGGTCTTCGGGATGGTCCTGGGCTGGGGACATAACTGGCCTGTGAGTCTGTTTGTTCCTCAGAAAGCACCCCCAATCCCAACTGTGAAGGTGAGAGGGCTGTGTGCTCTTGGGGGACCTGTAGCTGCCCAGCCTCACCCCTGCATGACCAAGGCCAGGCCTGAGCGCCGAGGTCCCAGCCAGGACCTGACATGCCCTCCGGACAGAGGCCCTCAGAAAAGTCCTGCAGTTAAGATCCTCTCAGGGCTGGCCAAGGAAGTTCCCTGGACATTCTGGTGTTCCTCCCACCCTCCACTCACCCAGGCCACCTCCCCACCCCCACCCTTAGAGCTGAGTCCTCCCTCCCTCTCACCCTAGGAAGCCACACCCTGAAGCTGATCCCACACCTGCCCCAGCCAGGGCCTGTCTGCCCAGGAAGTCACCTTTGCCCAGAGGAGGCAAAAGGAGGTGACAGAAGAGGAGATATCACTGAAGAACAAAGGCTGGGGTCCCCAGGTTGAGACACCTAAGATGCCTTAATCTCCTGGTCTGGGTTCATGGTGCCTACGTCCACCCCCTACACATACTCCACTGCAGGGTTGAGGCTGATGGAGTTGTCTGGGACTGACTGGAGGGGTTGGAGAGGGGGGCTGGGTATCCTGAGCCTAGAAGGGATTCCTGCATTAGGGTGACTGTCACTGTGAAAACTAAAAGCAGCAATACCACCATGCCTGGTGTCTCGGCATGTCTGGCACCATGTAACCCACGTTAGGGTCTCATTGACTTCCTGCAACCATCGTGATCTGTCCTAGACAACTGAATATCACTCCCCCACCCCCAAACACACATATGCTCCTGAGGCCAGTCAGGGCCTGGTACACAGGCAGAGCACCTTCGACCTGTCTTTAATTGACAAGCAACCCTGCCTGTTCTGATCAGTGTGACCAGACAGCCCGGACTCATGGAATATACACGCAGATGGCAAGTGTAACACACACATACCCCAGCATCCACC